GTCGGGATACGACCTAAGAACTGTTGTAGGGTTCCACGGAATCTAGATGATTATGTTGAATTTGGCACCATACGGGTGGATGTATAAGAAAAAATCATAGTTGAGGGGAGTATTTGTAATTATCCAAACAAGAGGGGTGTTTTTATAATTTGACCATACCTCAGGGGGGTGTTTGTAATTTACCCAAATAATAATGAAGTGTAGAAGTCAACACTCTTACATAATTTCATGAGACGAGTTAATAGAAGCTTGTCACGTAGGGCTAAATTTGAGGCGCATATTAATCAAGTCAAAGTCATATATATTTTTAATGGACTTAGGTTGAACAATTGAACGAAATATTTGACTAAACAAGTGTGAAATTAGCCCCATTTCACAATAATAAATATTTAAATTGACCCAATTAGAATCTTAGGTTTGTAACAATATAATGTTGAATTACGCGTACAATATTCTTAGCCTAGCTGTAACGTACCATAAAAAGTTTTGTTATATATTGCCCTATTTTAATAATTGCGTAGCAGTGGGGATGTCTTAATTCTACGCAAATTCACCCGCATGATAGAAATAAAAGGGTAAATTACGGCTATCTCCCGGATGTAAGGTTAAATTACGAAAAGACTTCTCATATTTTCGTAATTGCAATCACTCCATCAACTATGAATCTTCTTATATGCTTATTCTTGCGATGTCAATTTCAGTGGAAACTTCTAAATTATTATATGTGTACTTGTTTTACCCCATTCGAGTTTCACGTTTCGAAACAAGAGGGTAATAAAATGTGTCTCTTGACTTGTAAATATCAGAATGTGACGCATCAGAAACTGCATTTTCGCACAAAACGAGTACAAACTAGAGAACATTTCACGGAATCTAGAAGATTCTGTTGAACTTGACACCATAAGAGTGGACGCGTAAGCAGACTCATAGTTAAGGGGTGGTTGTAATTACCCAAACGAGGGAGTTTTTTCGTAATTTGAACTTACTTCAGGGGTGACCGTAATTTTGCCAAAAATAAAATGAAAAAAAAATACTATTTCTCTCTCATCAACTTCACAAATATAATAATAAAAAAAAACTTCTAAAATGAAAAATAAAATATGGGAGTGGAATAATCTTTATCTCAATAGTTTAATTTAATATATGAAAGAGAGGATAAAATAATATTATCTGAAAGAAAGACAAACAATTTATAAAGTAAACAGAGTCAAAATCCACTCCCCATAAAAATAATTACACAGTCCACAAAAATCCACTGCCGGAGATGGGGCCCACCACCGTCGGTGGGGGTGGTGGTAATTTCAAGGTACAATCAAACCATGCAGTGTCATAATTGTACCCTCCATTTCAGTAACTCTCCTTCCCCATTAAGATCAACACACACTTTGCCACTTTTCGCAATCCAAAAAAAAAATAGCTTTTTTTTTTTTCAATTCATCAAGAAAATCTCCATTATCATAAATTTGGTGACAAGCCCACTTTACAGAAAATGAGAGACGAAGAAACCCAAACAAACCCTAGTAGCAGCAGCAGCACAAACTTAGCAGGAAGCTTCAGCATCAAGAAAGATGGCGGGGGGTCTGGTTTTGAGGGACTGTTTGGCAAAGGAAAGTACAAGTTGTGGGCTTTGACTGTAATTATTTTGCTTGCAGTTTGGTCCATGTTCACTGGCTCTGTCACACTCAAATGGTCTTCTGTTTATCTTAAACACTCCTCTCTTGACTTAGATCAATCCATCCATGGCGATCTTGATGTTCTGGTATAATAAGTTCTTTTTTTTTTTTCTGGGTTTTTTTTTTTAATGTTTGAGATCTAATAAATTATTATGTAAAAGCTGACAGTTGGGAGAAAAAAAAATGAATAGTTTAATGGATAAAACCGGATCTATTAGCTAGAAAACAACTGGTAAAGACTAAAGATCAAATCTTTATACACACATTAGTAGGTGATCTATGTTAATTGCTATTTTCTAGCATATTCTTGCGAGTGAATTTTAATGGGTTTTTTTTTTTTTTTTTTTTTGGGTGTTTGTTGGAAAAATGTAGGATGTGGATGAAAGGGAAAAGATGGTGAGGCAAATGTGGAATGTGTACAAACACAACAGTATTGTAAGGCTGCCTAGTTTCTGGAGAGATGCTTTTGGTGCTGCTTATCAAGACTTGATCAGTGAGGTTTCAACTGTCAGAAATTCGGCCCTTCTTGAGATTGCTAAGATGTCGTTCGACTCCGGCGTTGTGTATGATCCACCTCCTGTCGAATCGACCCCTAGGTACGCAATATGGGATTACGAACTTCGTTTTATCTGTGGCTAGATTTTTCCGTTTTATAAGCTTTGTTGAAACTTAACAAATTAAATCAGGATATATATTGATTTGTAATCAGGGCTCGTATTATTCGTGATAAATTCATGCGAGGACTGTTAAACGATACTTGTATTTCATATGGCTCTTTCTATTTACTATTCATCAAGAATTATTTTTTATTGCACGTCGAATTCTAACAATAATTGCATTTGATGCTGCTCAGAGTATCCGAGGAAGTTCCACTAAGAACCAAGGCAAGGAAGACGAGGAAACAGATCAAATGACCGTATATGCTAAGAGCAACTGCAAAATAATGCATCGTCCTTGGAGTATTATGTAATTTTGCGTGCACTTATTGCTATAATACGACATTTTAATATCTTAGGGCATGACATTTGCGTCGTTGTTGCAAAGTGACGAGATGCATCCATGTTCCGTTTACATTTCTAAGCGAATTATATACTAGTAAACATTTATCCAACTGGTAAAATAGTAATAAATATTTGGTTTTCTCGTAGTAAAGAAGGTATTTACGATCTCCGTTTGGCTGTAAGTTGCTATTTTCTTTATATATGTCTCCTAGCATACGCTTATTTTCGAAGAACAAGTAACAAATTCTCCAAATTACTATCAAAGAAGGGACAAAGGAAAGCACTTCGATAAGTGACGAAACTGAACCATGAATCATAAAATACCCGACGAACAAAGGCATACAAGTATCTAATGTCTGAACACTCAACAATACCAAGAGCATGAAGCAAGAAAACTAGATTTAGTGCCAATACATAATAATTAAACCTTAACAAGTTACAGTAAGTATAACAAAACCTACAGTTAAACGATAACTTAACAAAATTGCTTCAGCAGGTTATATTAGCTGCCTGCAGTTTCTCTCTATAGAGAGGAGCTAAAAATCCTCGCTGCCATAAAAAAACCGAAAAACATTTACAGTCTGAGACAAATGTATTCACAATCTCCTAATCATCTAGTCATCAACTGTCTGAATCTCTCCCATCATAATCCGGTTGCTAACGACATTAAATCCCAAAACCAGCGGACTCATTTTCTTGCCCTTTTTGCCCTTCTTTTTTCCTCCTTTTGTTGCAGCATCACCATCATTTGGCTCAGAGCCCCCAACATCCACATGGCCGGAGGTCATATTACCAGCACCTGAGGCAGTTGATTTACGTTCGTTCTGATTCTTGAAGGCAATGTCGAGAACATTCGAAGGCAAAAAATCTTTGTAATTCAGGAACTTGTCGATGAACTCGTGGTTAGGGTCAAAGGAACCGAGATTCTCTGTCAGTAGTGTTTCTGCCTCTGATCTTGATATCTTTAAACAATATTCCAAGATACTTGTATCTACAAAGGAAATAACAACCATAAGAAAGGAAAGTAAAGGCCGGAAATCGCGTGGGACGGTTTATTCATTCACATACAAAAACACACATTTGTGTGTAGATGAACGGTAAAGAACTATAAGACAAGTAACTTCATGGAAAGGTCACTGCATAAAGAACAATGGTTGCAAATAGACAATACCTTTTGATCCAAGAAGTCGGACGCACTCACTCTCGCACCATTCCTTGAAATCCAAAGCATCTGTAACATTAACAGAGTAACAGTAAATTCAGCATGTCTATTTTTTTCTTTCTGGAGGGGAATAGAGGGAAAATGAAAGCAATCGAAGCAAACTACCTGAATGCTTGGGCGGGGCATTCTTCTTCCCTTTCAAGGATGACTGACCGGAAGAAGCTGAAGCCGAGAGCGAATAATCAGCTGGCCTGCTGCCAACGGAGGACTTCTTCAATGACCCTCCAAGGGCTCCTTTCACAGGTGTGGTTTTGCTTCCCCAACTATTCTGTTTTCCGAGTTCAGGGAAATCGTGCCTACAGACATACAGAAGCATCTTAGGATGATATTCTTCCTCGAAATAACGATATCAGAAATATACAATAAAAGAATTACGAAAAAACAACATTATTATGCTCAATGGCAAAAGTAGCTCAAGGAGCATACCAACTGACATAATTGTCCCAAAGTACCAAACGTTTGTCACCATAAGCAATATTCGATATAATTATTGGCATCAACCAATGAATTATAAAACCTTAGAACTACCTTCCCTCCACCAAGAAATACAAAGTTAAAACTGGCAACCTACCACATCCATCCCCAACCCTCAACCCCACCCACCTTTTGCTTCTTTAATAGGCGAACACATATTATCTGCCTCCAGCACCAAATCTCTCTAAACATCTTCGTAACTACTTAAGCAACCCACAAAGATATATCTATTCACTAAAATAATCATCCACTTGGGAACCAACTGACACAATATCTTAGCTGCTCTAACTGGAGATACTTGCAAACACTGGTGCAGAAAGCCCAAAGCAAAACATTTTCTAATCAACATTAGGCAAAAACTCAAAATTAATGAGCACAACAGGCAGACATTTGGACGCTAGTCAAACTATAATAAAGGGTAGATTTGAAATTTGGATAGAAAATGACACATGAAACTATATCATTGATGCAAGCACTGGGAACAAATATCTGATATAGTAAACGGGAAAAAGCCATAATAAATAGTTGATCTAAAAATTTGAATATAAAGTGGAACTTGAGACTCATTTTTTATGCAAGCATTTGGACTAAATATCTGATATGTTAGATGAGAATAAATGTAGATAGAGACATACTGCTTATTTTCAGACTTTGGTTGCTCTAATGGTCCCCAGAACAGATCATCATCAACTTTATGTTTGACATGAGAAGCAGCTTGCGAGATAATTGGGATTGGAGATGCAGCCTTTGCAGTAGATGAGGAGGATGACCATAATGGACCACTTCCATGGGCAGGTTGATTAGCTGCAGGTTTCTGGGGAGTTGGAAGCTGTGCTGGCGAAGACACCTTTCTTTCCTGTTCCTTGAGGATGTCCCTCAACGATGTTGCCTTGTACGGTTTCCCAGAGTCAGTGGACCAAGCAGGGGCAGGAGGACTTGCAGGCTCTCCCTTCCATGTAACAAAATCTCCAAATGAAGGGCCAGATGGGACAGCAGGTAACACTTCCTTCTGCTGCTGCATTTGGCGAGCATTTTTGCCCTTTTCAATGGGACTTGATCCAAAAGACGTTTCAACAGAAGCTACAGGAGCAGCCTTGGCTCCAGCATTTTTAGCCTTAGCAGCCTTCTTGCGGTTCTTTTTAGTATCTTTAGCATCAATAAAGTCATCCACAACAGAATCAGTTTGGGAACTCATAATTGATGTTAAAGATATCGCAGGTACAGTGTTGGAAATCTCCATCTCCTTGTCACCCAACTTGGGAGCAGTATAATCCCAGAATAGCTCTTCCTTTTGGCTATTCTTGTTCTTCAGAATTGATGAACTGTCCGCCTTTGCAGACTTTAAGTCGGTGCTGCCAGCATCCTGCAGAATTTCACTGAATGCCATGTGATCTGCATTCACAACACCAGCCCAAGGAGTGGAGACATTCATGGAGCTCACAGAAGTTGAAATCTCAGCAACCGCCACCTCTTCTCGTGCTCTTCTCTGCTCTTCCTGTTGTATTTCCAGTAATGATTTTGGCTTGAAACCAGGAGCAGGCTTCCATGCCCGTTGTACAGCTTGTGTTTGTATGTTCATCTGTGATGCGTATGAAACTTGTCCTGGCTGATCTTTTGTTTCAACATGCAGACCGGCATCAGCATAAGCTAGGTCAGGCGACGAGTTTTGTCCTTGCACAAAACCCACATCATCGGCAACTTTGTCGGTCTTGTTCTTTTTCTCCTTACTAGTCAAAGATGCTGCAAGTGCCTCTCCTTGGGAAGAATGCCTCTCAAATTTTGTATTACCAGAGTTTGTTTCTTCAACTTCTGATGACTTTGACAGTTGGGACTTAGAGACACTCCTTACTGAGTCGGTAGAAACCTTTGTAGCCTTCTGCTTTTTTGACTTCTTCTCTGAGGATTTTTTTACTTCCCGTGCTTCAAGATTTTTCACTTCCTTTACCAGAGAGGAATCACCAGTGTGCAGTTCCACATCTTTAGGTTCTTCAAATGCTCCAACAGAAGTCTCAGCCAATCCCTCCACGGTATCAAAAAATAGCTCGTTTTCATGACCAACAGTAGGTTGCTGGTGTGAAACTGATTCTCCCAAATACTCACCGGCTGGAAAAATTTTGGTGGTTGAAACTCTGAAAGATTCATCATAGTTTGACGTCTGTTCTCCAGCATGTTTGGTTGCTCTTTCGGACAACAAATCCGAATCTATGCCATCTGTTTTGCTATAAGAACTCTTCTGCTGCTCAACAATTTCCTCCGGCAGAGTAGTGTCCCATTTTGTTTGCTTCGCATTATTTGCAAAAAATTGATGTGGCAGATGCATCGAAGTTTCTGAATTAATATTTGGGCCAATATCCTGCGATTCACGAGGCAAAATAAAGTCGGCAACATTTGCATTTTCTCCTCGTAAACTGGGAACTTGAAGATGCGTGCCAATCTGAAATGAATTTTGTGTTTGCTGGAAAGGGGTGTGGTCCACATTAGCATTTCCAGCAGCAAATCCACCACTTTGCAGTTGAGCCAACGACCCCTCATTCAATCTTTGGTTTAGGTGATGGTCAGGGAGCACTCGTGAAAGCAACTGTTGCTGCTGACGCATTAACTGCTGCTGTTCTTCCTGCTGCTGTTGCTGCTGACGCAACAACATATCCAAGAGTGACAGTTGCTGCGATGCAACAGGGGTCGGTGATTGCAACTGAAGCAGATACTGCTGTTGCAACAAACTTAGCAGTTGTGGATCTTGAGGGATACCAGAAGCGAGGAGCTTCTCTGGAGTTAACATATGAGTTTGATTACCCATAGATTGTGCTAACATATTAGTTAAAGATGTATTCTGAGGCTGCAGCCTCTGCTGGTTAATCCCAAATGCAGATTGTGGAGGAAGATTCTGACTTTGATGAATGTCCAACTTATCTTGATGTGGGCTGAACCCTCCTTGAATAGGGAAATTCAACCAACCACTGGTTCCATTGTTCAAATTGGCGGTAGATCGGTCAGATAAGCCTTGATGCATAGGCATTGACTCCACAGTCTGAGAATGATGCTGTGCCCGAGAATTATCTGTGAGAGACGATAGAAGCTTCAACTGAGCCAGCGAAGTCTCATTCAGGGCATCTGTCTTTGCAGCAGCAGAAGCTGCATCTCTCCCAGGCCAAAGTGAGTATGGATTTGGTAGAGATCCCTGCTTCTCCAGTGCCAATTTTTTGGCCAATAAATATGGGTCATCTCCAGAATTAGATCCCAAGGGAGGTGTTGCAAACGAACTATTTCCACCATATCCCTGCATACCTGTATAACAAAATGGCATAAAACCCCTACTATCAGAAACAAGCAAATGTAAGTGAACAGAGCCCAGAGGTACAGAAAAGCAACCACTTGTTTACGCTTTTCTTTAGATAGAAATAGACGAACCTTCAGGGATAGCAAACTTGTCAAGGGATGCAGCACTCATCCTGCCAGCCATCAACGATTCCAGAAACCTATTTTCAGCTTCTGTTGCGTTACCGTGTTTAAATCTTGGATCATTTTTCAACATATCATTCTCACTCGAACCTACGTGAAGCTTCCCAAAAGCGCCATGGCTTAGTTTACCAGATACATCTTGGACATCATTTGTCTTGGGTGTACTAAATCCAGGAGGTGGCCGAGCCTTGGCACGCAAATGGGGCATCACATCTCCAAGTACAGAGAAGGGCGAGTCGGCTGGTGCACTGGCCAAACGGACTAGCAATTCTATGCCAAAATATCCAGACTCGAACCAGGTAATGATATCACTCCCAGCAAAAGGGCCTTGAATTTCACCTTGTGGGTCTTTATAGTAAAGAACAAGATCTTCTGGAGCCGGCTGAGAAACCTTGTGTGGTTCTATCTCCCTGTCAATTGCTTCAGCTGGCTGCCTTCTCATAGCTGGATCATCACTAACCTGCCATTTTGAAACTCCTTGTTAATGTTAGGTGAATTCATCATACTGGTGTCACAGATATTGTTAAAATCTTCTGATTATCTGTAGGTACCTCTCTCCAATCAGAAGTTAAACGTGAGCGTTCTGCAAAAGATGAAGATCTCCATGCACCAGAGTGAAGAACTGAGGAATTACTTCGTGAACTTTCCCTAGGGGCGGAAACATCGTCATTCTTCTTATGAACACTATCTTCTTTTGAAGCTGACCACAAAGAATATAATGTTTACATCTAAGCTTTCAAATATATATGCATAAGAAGCGAGTTACATCAACTGTAAGTGTATCAAATAAAGCAAAACCCAGAGGACAATATGTAAAAATATTTCATCAATCAGGCCATGAGATGCAAACTAGAATTGGAATATCTACAAAATAGAATGATATCATATGATCCCGTGAGCAATAATCAACAGAATTCTGACTTTGACATTCTATGTCCTGCAGAATATCTGACAGGCATTTTTATTGATTTGTAAATCAAATGCTAACTTAAGAAGTCATTTCTACAACTTTCCATCTATGATCAACCTATCTTGCATTATCTCAAGCAATCACATTTGAACTACTCGAATTTACCTTCAGCATTCAACTTTTGATCGCGAAAGGCCTGATAGTCCTGCATCTTCTCCGCTTTTGCATTAAGCCAACCATAAGGCTGCTTTTCATGGGAATGACCATCTGAATAGCCATCCTGATATCCCAGTGTTTCATGTTTAGAATCATCAAGAGAAACCGGAATATCATCCTTACTTCCTGTTCAGGCCAATCAAGACAACAGATATTGAGGGGTGAATTGTTCGTCCACGTAAATGGGCCAAAATGCAAAACATGGAACAAATCTAATTAAAATATAAGATTACCAGGCCTGTTTTTTCTCGAATGCATAAAATCAGTTGTGGGTCGACCAGCCGATCCTTCCTTACTAGCCTGTGGAGCACCAGTAATGATTTCCCCTTTGTCAATTCCCTTCAGGGTAACCTACAAATTAACCTTCACAGTCAATCTAGGGACCATCGAACTATATGATTATCGATTATTATGGAAAGCGGGATTACCAGTTCTTCAGGAGTAGGTGCACAAAAAGCCAGAGGTTGTACGGGTTCTTCACTTGTGAGTGAAGGTACTTCGACAATGCCTTCTAAATACTTTGCATAACTTATCATATCAACTGTCCTATATATATCTATTAACTTTGTCCGGCTATAATTTAGATGATATGGCTCTCCATTGCCACTTTCACCTTTTTCTACAATAGGTCCATGTGATTGCAGGCTAGTGGCTGTATGGGTAACTGAGCTTCCCCCAGAGGTAACCCTTCCCCTACCAGGTGTAAAGCTAGAAGCCGGGTTTTCTCCACGTCCCCGGCCATGTGGAAACATAGGACCCTGTTTGTTTAGGGATGAAGTTTGGTGATGAGGATCAGCTCTACCTCGGCTGTAGGAAGAGTTAGGTCTCCATGGTCGATAATGACCCCCCTCCCTCTCATCCTTCCCATGAAGAGGAATATGGGAGGACCCTTTATCAAGAAGAACGTCATCTTCCTTACTCGAGTCACCCCACCTCTCATGCACAACATCAGTCCTCTTGTCATCTGGCCCCCACCGAGTGTTCCATTTGCTCTCGCGCCTTTGATCATGGTTATCTCCATTTCCTGAATCAGTCCATCGCTCTCCTGGGGCACGACGTGCTTCCCCATAGTGCCTGACAGATGAATCAACCTTTCTATCCACCTTGCGGTTATCACTATGCTCTCTCTCCCCCTCCCTCCATCTGTCTTTGCGGACAGATGAATTAGTGTCCCTTTCTTCATCACGCCAGCGGTCTGGACGACCAGATTCCATGTCTAGCACAGAAGGACGGAAGACATCTTTTTTCTTGAATTCATCTCCTGTTCCAACTAGTTTCATAGCATCAGGGCGATTTTCTTGACCTGGATGCGGAGTAACATAGTTCTCCTGCACAAAAAGGGTGAAATCGCTAAATAAAGACATGTGGGCTGTGAGGTCCAGTCAACTTCACTAGAAATCCCTTTTCATATTCTATTACACATTTCTTTATAATAATGGAAGGAGATAAAAAACTAGCCAGAAAAAGGACAAAGTAAATCAGGACAAACCCCAGAAACCACTCCAGTCTTATTCTCCCCTGGTTTTGGCAAAAGCCACTGAGGTGAAAGCGGAATGGAGCTGTCAGATCCTTGAATTTCTGCATAAATTACAAAGATATAAGAGATAAGACAGAGCAAATGAAATTTCAAAAGAAAGTGAAAATAAATTACAGCAACTAATATATTTCTTACAATTATCAAAAGGAACGTTAATATACAAAGTTTCTACAAGTAAGACATTGTTACACTTTGAAAGACGTGTTCAATAAAGTTATTTTTAAAAGCTCCAATTTAACTGAAAAGGTGACTTGTTTCAGTATATTATTGAAGTAATATGTAAAGGAGAAAGAGTCTTAACTTTTTCATTCTTATTATTAGTTACATTTGAAACTTTTTTCGAGAGGCAAACAGATCTAACATTGATGAACCCATACTTCACCAACAAAAAATCTTGACATGAAATATTTACTGTGGCAGTTTCACCAAAAGGAAACAATTCATCATGACACAATGCCATAATTTGTAAGACGCATGCATAACCAAGTGACCACTAATTCAGGCATAAGTTCACTCGTACCAAAACACATGCAACAAACAATATTGGGGATCTTACAAAGAAAAAAATCTCAAGATAAACATTCTACACTGGATAACCACAACATGCAACATCAAATTGAGAAACAAGATCTCTTCTTTTTTTCTATTTCTTGATCATTCTGAATGTCAAAAGCCAGGATAGCCTTTGCACTCACATGAAGGAAAAAAAAATAACAAACGAATTTCACTAAATAATAAAGCTTTTCAAATTTTCAGATTATTTAATCTAAATGTAGTCCAGAACATAACCCTACACCGAAAATCAGGCACCAGACCTAGCATCTGTATTCTCAAATTAACTACATCCAAAACTGTTCGGTAAAGCGCTCATCTGCCTCAAAAATAACACCTTTCTTCCATCAAAATAACAGTTAAATACAGAATTTTTGTTTACAAGCCCCGCATCAGTTAATTATATTTTGCCTGGGCGAGAAAACTTCGCAAAAACACGAGCAAATAGAGGAAGATATAGTCTTTACACTCGCATTTGGAAAATTAATCACAGAACGGAAGAGAAAAAGTTTATTTATTTGACCTAAAACCAAAATAAGCCGCAAAGCAAGTGGCCCCGGTTTTAGGGTTTTACTGAAAAAATGAAATTAATCAAAAAAAACTAACAAGTAGGCCGGGGAGAGAGATGAATGCGAGAGAAATATAAACCTTTTGGGATCTGATTAGGGCGAGAATCGAACTCGGTGTTGTCGGCCATTGATGATCGAAGTGAGAGACGGAAAACTGTTTAGAGAGAGAAAGTGAGCTAGAGAGAGAAAACCCTTTGGAATGACTGCTTGTTGAAGGTGCACAAAATAGCCAAGGCGGGGGCAAAATATAGGGCAACCAAAAGGGCAGAAGATAATAATAAATCTCATAAATTAAAACTATTATAAATAAATAAATAAATAAAAAAAAAAAAAAAAAAAAAAGGGCAAGGCTACGGCTTAGTTTAAGTGCGTACCCTACGGCTCATGTTAGCATTGGTCCTTGTGATATTTTCTCCACATTTTCACTCGCCGTGGAAGACTATAGAAATACTCTATCCACACGCGCGTAACCATGATCGTACAACTCACGACTCCGTGGTGTGATCCTTTTGTGCCTTCGACTTTATTTGCGCGTGGATTTTCCAATTATGAATTTACGACTATGACCCCTAAAATTTTATTAATTACAAAACACCCTTGTCTTCTCTTATAAATTATAATTATACTTGAATACAGTTTGCACCATTGTACTATCATCATTGTCGCATATACTATGAAATGCGACAAAACAGTCAATCACCTTATCAGTTAACTCGCACATTTCTAATGGCTTTAGTTTTTGCAGTGTAGTTACTTTTTTACCCTTACTTTATTTGATAGAAATGCCATTCTTTGACTTTGTAACTTTGAACAAACGGAAGACATTCTAAACCGAGTAATTATTTATAAACTTAAGAGAGAAATTACAAATAATTTCTAAAATATAAAATTTGTTCACAAATTTTGGGTAAAAAAAAAGGACTATAATGAAAATTAAGAAGAAATTGAGTTTAAATGAGTGAAGAATGATGCACATTTTTTATACACAGTCAAAAAGGAATATTGATCTGAAAATTTTCAACGGCTAATGCAACGGTCAGTCAACAATTGAAAGGGACATTTTTGCAACAGAGATGTACGCCATGGGTTGTTTTGTCCCAATTCAAAGTACAGGAGTATATGCGACAGTGATGATAGTACAGTAGACAATTTGTATTTAACCCTTATAATTATTTCGACAGCTTTGTAGTCATGTTATTTTATTACATGAAAAAAAATGAGAATGTGACTATGAGTTTTAATGCACAAGTAAGTGAACTCCTAAAATTTATCATGACATGGAAGAATTGAGTTGATGTTAGGCGCAGGCTTGATCGATGCTGATTACAGAGGGCCGATCGGAGTGATTCCGTTCAACCATTCCGATGTGGACTTTGAAGTGAAGTCCAGCGACAGAATTGCTCAGTTGATCATTGAGTAAATTGGCACGCCCTAGGTGGCTAGCTGTAGTTGACGATCTCGATTCTCGATTCGACTGTTAGGGATTCTGGTTGATTTGGATCGACATGCATTTGATTAATATTGATATTTGGGGTAAATTAATTATTATTATTTTTTTTTCTAGTGTGTTCGAAATTTTCATTCCAACAGCCAAATTTTTGTAAAGAATGGAATTGAACTGATATTCTTCGAAAACCTGTCAATAACTATACATAAATATGCATTTACAACTAACCGAAAAAATCACCGTCCCATAGAAAAAACCCACTTCAACGAAGAACACTTTGCGTAGATCTAAAAGGCCCACGACAAGTGGGACAAGTGGGCCTCTTCGATAGCCAAGGGTCGATGCACTGAGCGTGAAACTCGTGGCGGCAAGCCGGCATGACTCGGCAAACTTCCGCCTGCTGGAGATTTTCCAAGCAGATGACACAAATTACGTTACTTGTTCCCACGTCTTTATTACGGTACAAACAAGTGATCTCTTGTAGCTCCTCAACAGATAAATGGAAAAACGAACTGTGATCATCGGCGATTGTTGTTTCTTCTTCTTCTTCATCTTGGCTAATGAAATCAATGACTAGATAGCAGCATGAAACGTAGACTATAAGGATAGCGATGATGCAGATGAAGGAGATAGGCGGAGGTAAATCTCGTAACGAATAGAACATTTTTTTTTTCGGTTGTGTTTTGTCAAAATCTTCAAGGAAGAAGTGTTTGTTAGAATCAGACGCATATATAATTTTTGATTTTTGATTTTTGGCTGATTTAACAAGCAAAGCTCGTATCAACGGAGTCGAATTATTATAGTAATCCATATTTGTGATTAAAACTTAATTAGGATCGAATGAGTTGACAATTCTTTTACTAGCAGCAACAACCAGAGAGAGAACACTTGGGGTGGACTTCTTGCACATTACTGACAATCGAATCCACCGTCACATGTTTATTTCTTGTAAGATGGACAATCATTGACAATTAGCATTAATGTTTCTTTTTTTAATTTCGACGTTTACGATTTACTAAGGTGTTACCGACTGGCCCTTCTTTCTGGCGCCACATAACATCTATTTAAAGAAAAATAGCACAAAGTACAATATACGGATAAAAAGTATATATAGCCTTCACTCGAAAAACTTTTATTGGTACCCACCCATGCAGCATTAAGATCGAGTTGAAGATTATTTTCATCGGTACACGTCAATAATTATGGGAGCTCAGACGAGGAATATTCCATGTCTAACGAAACGAAAGGAAGCTTAGCAGAAAAAATGGCCACAAGTGAGCTCGTTGAAGCTGCTATTATATGACAGCAGTAAAAACCAAGCTGATGATTACATCTTCGGTAAAACTGTGCAGTCCTCCTTTGAAATGTCTGTGCTTGCCTGTCGAAAATAACAAGCCATTTAGAACCGCTCTAAAATTGTTCGATGGACCAGAAATCGTAGCCATATTATAGTTCATAAACATCCATAAAGTCGGATTGAAATGTACAAATTTGATTATATGTTCGGGTAGAAAGTGGTTAATGAATTGATTAAAATATTCAATCAATAGGAAGTGTGATTTCATACCTCTAGATATCTTGTTAGCAGTGCTGTAGTGCTGAAGTTGAACCCTTCAACTGGTTCGGCTTTCTTACGAGATGCATTAAGCTGCTTTCTGACTTGAGTAGCCAGTGACTGATTTGTTGTAACAAAGCCGAACGAAAACAGAAAAAACAAATTAATTTATCATATATATATATATATATATATATATATATATATATATATATATATAAGATAATGGCAAATGATAAGGGAAAGTGTGACAAAAATGATTTATACCTTTCCCAATTCTACTCCCCATTGGTCAAAGGAATTTATACCCCATACGAATCCTTCTACAGCAACTCTATGTTCGTAGATTGCCAATAACTGCACATAAGTATTTGCAAGATTAGGCAAGGTACTCGTACGCTTTGAATTGAATCAAGGATGAATTACCAAAACTATCCTTGATGTTTGGTCCAATTACAAATAAACCCCCAGCCAACTTTCAATATCACAACTGCTCCCTTGAAGTTTTGTATTTATTTTACAAATATCCCAGCAAGCAGGTATAATTTACAAACTTAGCTGGGTTTTGTATAAATTGGCCAAACCTCCACGGTAGACGGTAGTTCTTATAAATTACCCGAAAATCGATAACAAAATCAACTACCTGTCCAATGTTGTAAGCGTTCAGGGAAGGAAGTAGAAGGCTGACAGATGGCCGGTCACCAGAGAAAGTCTGCAAACGAGAAATATAAATTGAGATCGTAATTCAAACTTAGGCAGAGCTACATTCCCATAAACGGGGAGCTGTAAGGAAATTACCTTGTGAGTAACAAGATGGTGAGGGACATTCTCCTTTAATAACTGTTCTGGAGTCTGGAGGAAAATTAAGCATAATTAAAATGCTAATATTCAGGGTAAGAAACACGAGTATGGATTATCAAATATGCGCTACCCATTTTAATCGTGACAAGCACAACCTGAAATAATATCATAAAAAAAGAAAAATAGTTATTACCTTCCCATAAGCAAGTGCATCTGGCTGGGCAAAGAAGTTGGACATGAGCTCATCGTGGTTGCTAACAACTTCACCTGTAAAAACAAGTTGCCTCAGTGTTCTCTTTGTTCACCAACTTATACGAACATTAGATATCTTATTATCCTAAAAAAGAATATAAAACGGCGATAAAAGTTGATACCTTTAAGGTAAACAGGCTGCTGACTCTTCACCACACCAATAAAATCGCATGGAATAACACGACCCTGGAAATTTTCCCAGCAGGATAGTGCAATCAGATATTCCAGCAAATATGAAATGACGTACAAGTGTCAAATGCATTGGATTTACAGGTTAAGGTGTATTGTAGAGTAAATTAAAAATCAAACGCATTCCAAGAGAAGTCGTCTCATTTTATAATATGAGAAAATTTAAGGTCAAAGACTGTATAGAGTTTTGAATTTCGACACATGCATGACATGGAAATGATTGTCCACAACAAAATGAAAACATATGTGAACCACACAAATCCATTTAAACTGATGCTATTTTTTGTTTAAATAAATCCAGAAATATTCATACCTGGTGAATTAGTTGGTAAAAGCTGTGTTGCCCGTTTGTTCCTGGTTCACCAAAATCAATCTCACCTGCCTCAAAGGGAAGGGGGACACCATCGATTGACACCCCTTTCCCATTACTCTCCATGCTAACCTGAATGAACAACATTAGAAAGAGCATTAATTTTAATCCCAAAATAAGATAGACGCAATGTGCTAGCAGTAGTAATTAGCAAGACAGAGTCATGGAAACATGCCTGCTGAATATGAGGAGCAAATTTTTCCAGTGCTTGAGTGTAAGGTAAAATGGCCTGAAATAAGGAAAAGCTCTCTCATATACCTTAAACGAGAAACATTAAATTGGGGGGTGGGGTGGGGTACTTCAAATTGTCTTCAGCAGCTGATATACTTACTCTAGCAGGATATCCAAGGAATGACACATTCCAAACACTCAACAAGCCTAATAGCACCTGAAGAATTAATTTTGCAAAAAAACAGATAAATGAGATATCTATCAAGGAGACATTGAAAGGTAGACTGTGAGGAAAACACTTTCGTAAATGAACAAGAACAAAACAGATGATAAATCACATTGGGGATAAAAGAAAAAAATAATGTTTTTTTCCCTAATATATTGAGATTAAGATTATAATTAAATAATATCAATCATGCTAGCTGGATATTTCAGACCCGGCTACGAATTAGCTTTATTGAATAAGAAAAAAAATGATGATAGATGTAAGAATTAGCAAAGTAAAGTGTTAGACTAAGCATTCTGAAAAGGAACATACAGGTAGATTTTTCTCAATAGGCGCTGAATGGAAATGTTGATCGATACTTGAAGCTCCCTTCAGGAACCTTCACCGAAAAGGAAAAACAACATAAATGTCAGGAAGCAAGAAAGAAATCAACTTTATCAGAACAGGATAACAAAGAACAAAAAATCAACAAATAGAAGGTGTACAAGATCAGAGGTACATTCCCCATATTATATTTCGTACCAGAAGATAAAAAGTGGAAAATTATCACAAGCTCACGTATACATGTGTTCATTGTATTGGTAAAGTGAATTTAATAAAACAAAATGGTGGTCTCATGGTAGCTCAAAGGAAATTATTTATTCTCCTAAAAAGTCATCCTTAATCACTTGAAGTGAAGGAACAAAAAAAAAATATAATATTTTTGTATCAACTCCAAACAGTTGTTGCATATCATATCTCCAGTTGCATGTGACGCCAATGCTTTAAATAAAATGAAAGTTGCAGGTTACCGTACTTCTCGACAACCGCAAAACCATATTGAAGAGAAAGAGGCAACACTCCAACAGCACTGCAAACTGAAACCAGAGGTTCAGAGACCAATTAGGAGTCATCCAACTAAGAAATTGCACATAAAACTGTACATACAGTACTTACCACTGTAGCGTCCTCCCACCCAATCCCAGAATGCAAAGGCATTATTTGGATCAATGCCAAACTTTTCTACAAGCTGCATTGGATAATAACAGAAAGTCTAATCACTAAGACTAAATAATTAATTATACACTAACTAGATTAATCTATGCCAGCTTTTGCAGCAATAACTGACAAGATTAAGCAATTTAAATATTTAGCAAGAACATTATTGCCGGAGTTCACCATACCAAAACCATGTTACAACTATATATAGGTCGAATTAACGAGCTATATAGGTGCCTAATCAAAAGAAAATGCTAACATACTTTGCCAATGCATAGCCAAATTTCCAGCAATACGTGTCTTTCAACTTTTATTTCCCAGAATGTGTTCATGGGAATATTGGACCAGAGTTAAAGAGTTGTGTACTGTGATGTAAAGAAAGAGCAAGAAAATGACCCCTGAAAATTCAATATATATGGAAACTGAACATATGCTGATTACTATGCTACAGGAAATTTCTAGAACCAAAGAAGAAAAGTGAAGGCAGTTCACCGTGAGGTTAGTGCTGACAGCAACCATGTGCTTCGCCACTGCTTCAGGCCTGGAAATTATTGGGTGAAAAGAGACAAGTTAGACATAGCGATAGTAGTACAACGTAAATATACCTACGCTAAAAACAAATCCATCTAGTCAGCCATATAGCTGTGTTAGATACCAGTGACTGATTACTAATTCTGTAATATTCTCACCCCAAGGCAGCAGAGATCCACTCCCTTATAGTCCGGGCATTCAGCATAGTCTCAGCAGTGGTGAAAGTTTTTGATACCACAACAACTACAATACATCAAACAATAAGAAAACTGTTAACTGCCTGGAAATTCAACCTTTCTCAAACATGGATTTTGTAAATCATATCTTTCAAATTATAACAGAGAAATACCTAATGTTGTTTCAGGATCCAGCCCAGTAATGTTTCTTGCAACATCAACTGGATCGACATTTGCAAGGCTTCAACAGAAAAGGCAAAATTGAAAATTAGGTAAGAGCAGCATTCATCTTGCATAAATATTGTTATGTATGGATATTTCAGTATGCAAGAGAGCAAGAGAGATGAAATGACAAGTACTTCAAAAGCCAGATATCTTGGAGAAGCACAGACCAGACTCAGATGGCATACATCTGATCATTACAAAAATCTCATTGGACCTTAAACCATAAACCTGAATACTTCTTAACATTTTCTAAACAAAATGAATAGAGCACATGCCATAAACCTGAAATCTATGCTTATTCAAATTTAGTTGAAGCATATCCAACCAACCCCAGAAAGAGAACAAAAAAAACAGGATAGAAAGATATGGTCAAAGAAGAGATAAAGAAAAAAATATCACTTTTATCAATCAATCCAAAACATATTGTTCGTTCCTCAGACCCGGTGTTATACTCTCCTGAAATAATAATTATTTTGGGTTTCTATACAGGCTTGAGGGCGGGCACATCCTAGTTCAATGTCTATAAACTCTAAAAGTAGGAGCTGAACTATGCCACTTAAATAAGAGCTCAAAAATATCATTTAGGGAAGAATGGGACACTTAAACAAAATGAAGTGATAATCAAGGAATATGTTATACTTACAACCGCAGCTGGCGACCTTTTGCAAATTCAGAAGCTTCCGAGTCTACAAGTTACAAGATTATGTGAAATGCTATCCGCGTTAATATTGCAGACATATATAGTTTGTTGGAGACAAATGATTAGCAAACAAAGAAGAACAAGTGAAATGATTCGGTAGCACCAAACCGACCTGTTTGAAGTGCTGTATGAACAAAAAGAGGGCCTAGAAAACTGCCTCCAATTCCAACGGCAATAACATTTGTCAACGCTTTCCCCGTGGCTCCAATCTGTCGATTTTCACAACCACAACATAAAAAGGACGTGACAACAAATAAAATTTAACACATGTTTGACTGTAAGAATTACCCAGGCACCACTTCGGATCCTCTCCGAGAAATCCTTGATCTTGTCAAGAACTTGCCAAACATCTGGGACCACATTCTTCCCATCACTATTTATGACTGAATCCCTAGGTGCACGAAGTGCTACGTGAAGAACGGATCTATCCTCTGTGCTGTTTATCTGATACCAAATAGGAAGAGTATGAATTGGATGGCAAATGTTAGAGCAAGCATTAGATGACTGTATTTGAACAACTGTGGGAACCTCAAGTGATGATTTTGGAAGAGTTGAAAGGTTATGTATGAAAAGAAAGGGTCAAACTATGGTTTTAGTTTTCGGAATATTTCTAAGATCTCAAAAATAAAAAGGAACATGATACAACAATCAGACGGTCTTATTAACTGATAATATGGATAACCGCTGTCAAAGTCCTGTATAGAGGATCGTTTTTGCAATGAATATGCCTTTAGTAGTATAAAGACACTAAGATCATTCTAAGATTAATCAAATAAATCTAAAACAAACATCTTTTCCTGCTTTGGTTATATTCAAAGTCATTATTTACAAGACCGGGAAAGGAAAGAAATATCCAAGTAGTATTTTTCCTTGTTCATCTATCAAAATTTAGAGGTTTCATGTCTACCATACATGGAAAGGTATCTATACCCAAAGTGATGTAAGTTCAGTGGCAAAAAGTAACATAATGTATGACAATCCTGAAAAACATCTTAGCAAGAAAACATGAACTTACACGCTCTCCATTGAACATCTTGTTGATCTTTTCTTTCAAATGAGCTGCCTAGACAACCAAACCAAACAAGGTACCACAAATCAGATTACATATTGTACGTCTCCCACAAAACAGAGGTTCACCTCTAACATACCTCTGCTAAATTCTTGAGCTTATTCAATGTATCAGAAGTAGCACGTTGCCTCGAATAGTCCAGCAACATCCCATCAAACTCACTGTTAATGGGGAAAAAATGAAAATCTAAACCATTATGCACAAAAATCCCGTACTTCATTCTAAAACCACATATATGAAGACAGAATATCATACATCATCATGGACTGGCATCGTTCTGTGTCGCTCATCAACTCACGCAAATGAGTTTTCTTAATGTCGTCAACATGGGCCTGGAAATGGATGCACAAGCCACATCAAGATTCATGATTGAAAAGTTCCCACCAAACGCTAAGAACATGAAAAAATGATTTTTTTTTTACCTTCAAATCCTTCCATGGCTGGGTTTCGCAGATCAGAGCTGATGGTGCCATCTGCATAAATTCCAATACTATCCACAGTTCACATCCCATTTTTTTAAATTCAATACGAAAAATCACAAACTAGCTCGTGTAATAAAAAAAAAAAATCGTGACGAACTGACGACTACTTTAATTGCTTCCCTTTCAGGTTTACGTTTCCTCGAACACTCGAATATCCTAATTTAAAGTTCGTGATTTAATATGAGTGGAGCCAAATACAATAAAACTATAATCAGGTGATTCGGAATCATATGCAACAATCTTTTTTGCTTTTCCAACTAATATTTCACATAATTTACAGAAGATCCTCAAATGGAGCTAATACAACTAAAATCAGGCGATTCGAAATCATCAATTCAATACATCCACCACTAACGATGAATCTGCAATGATCTTTTCACTTTTCCAACTAATGTTTCGCATAATTTACAGAAGATACTCAAATAAAAAGATGCAAAATTAAACGAAAAACGCGAAGAACAATACCTAGAAATCGGTAATTAGATTTCAACTAAGTGTGGAACTGGAAATATAGCAATCTCGGGCCGCCACGGAACAGAAAACAGTGGATTGTGAATATTATTGCTGAGTGGAGATGGAAATTATTTGTAATTAAAAAACTGGAAAAAAAAAAAAAAAGGAAAGAGACGAAGATGTCACGTGCGGACTAGGAAAACACTGTTGATAGATCACGTGATGCGATAGGCCCCCGGTATATCTCACGCGCGATTCGGATCTTATGCTCTGTGACTTTTTGGCCGGTGATTTCTTTAAAGCAAACGGCTGAGATTCGGTGAGAGATTAGATTAGAAAATAGGATAAATTCCACTTTACCTCCTTATAGTTTGGCTGGATATCACTTTATCCCCCTATCCTCTCAATTGCATCGATCTGCCTCCTTGTACTTTGGTTCGATATCACTTTACCCCCTTCTACTCTCAATTCATCGATTTCCCCCTTGTACTTTGGCTCGATATCACTTTACCCCATTCTACTCTCAATTGCATCGATTTCTCCCCTTTACTTGAAAAATATCTCAATGTGCCCATCGCCGTTAGTTTTCAGACATTTGACCTTACCACCATTTGATCTAAGTTTGAAAATTATAAAAAAAACCACCCCTCCCATTTTAAATAATTATTAAAAAAAAAAACCACGAAGGCGGATGTGGAGCGTATGGTATATTGTCGCGAGACAACTCCCATGAGGAGATAACTCGGTCAACACTATTACCATGCGACGAGACAACTCCCACGAGGAGATAATCGCTCCATGCTACTACATCGTCGCGAAACAACTCCGATAACTCAAGTAACTTGCATCGCGACAACTTGGTCGCGCCCGCGCTACCGTCGTAAAACTCCGGCCACGCGCCAATGTGCCTTCGCACCCCTCCGACCCACGCCCCAACACATTTTCGTGCACCACTAGACCATACGCCAACGCGGGACCACTACAATTTTTACTCTCGACATGATAGGGAACCCATTTCAACATGTCCCCATATCGACTCGAGAGTGGGGGACTTAATGATATGTCTAATTGGACCAACCCAATAGACCTACAATTTTTTATCTACTGGGCCACGAGCCCAATATTGAAGACCACTAGTATCGAGGCCCAATCACCTTCAAATAAGGTTTTGGCCCAACAATCTCAACTAATTAAACTTCAGCCCAATCAATGAGGTATAAATAAAGGTTTGAACGCATTCCTTAATGTACGGTCTATTATTCACAAATATTCTAGAGCACATATTATCTCTACCATCTCCACGATCGGTGCTCGACCCCCAGCTTAGTTCACGTGTGTTCATTTCGCAGGGACCTCAGGACCATCAATTTGGCAAGCTACTGAGTCCCTTTATTCTCCCAACTCGTTTACCACACTATCCCAGATGATATAAGTAATTAGCATATATCATCATATATATATATATATATATATATATATATATATATATATATATATATATATATATATATATATATATATATATATACAGAGAGAGACGTATAAGTTCAAATAATTAAATTATCTTTGAAATCTTCAGAAAATCCGTCAGACTCCAATCTTAATTTCCGAAAACTCCGAAAACAAAAAGTAACTTTAACAATTTGTTCTTACAAAAGTTGATTTTTCATATTTGTTATATTTATTATATACCCTTAAAACGCATTTTTTAAGTATAATTAATTAATAAAAAATAAGAATTTTTTGATAGAACATTGTTCAAATAATATTGTTTTGAGGGAGCATATTTTATTATCCCTCAGTAATTGAACTATTTATACATCATATAAAATTCTCACAAAGTCCAAAAATTTTACACCAATACTTGGCGTGTTTTAAAGTAACATTGTTAGTTTAATAGATTTAATAAGGCATTTATAAAAACAACATAATAATTAATAAGTTTAAATAACAAAGAAGGTCGAGATGTCACGATCCACTTATTTTGAAAAAAAGGTATTTGGCTAAAACGTTTTTTAGTAGAATATTTAAGAAAAAAAAGAAAAATAACCTATTAGACGAAGGCCTGAGTAGACAACTTGTAGATAGTATATTGTCACCAAGTTATAAATATTTCTAAGAGTTCGCTACAAACTTCTTGATTACACTTACATTTTAGAACGTACCTACAATATGAAATGTTTCATAAAGCCACTCTCAACCACCAATATTTAATAAATCTCACCATCAACAAAAGAGATTTAGAACTATAATATGAGTAGGTTCAGTATATCAAAATAAAAGGAATTTTGTCAAATGGTCATTTCTCTAATCATGGTCTTTTGGAATCTCACGACTGACCAACCCTTCATGTTCATATAGATGTAGCGTTGGAAAAATCGTTTGATTTTACACAATGTTACAACTCCACACTTGAGAGATATATGGTATTTTTGTATTTTCAACTTGTAAACAAATAAGTTACTTGTTCGGTGATTACTAGATTATTTATTTAAATGGTTTCCTAATTATTCCCTAATCTTGCCTTCTTGCTGGCATTCATGTTGAGGAAACTATTGCCATCCTTATTATCCTATATCAGTAAGTGGAATTCGAGAACCAGTGGAAAACAATAGGGCCAAGATTGATGTTTACAAAACTTTATTATAACATCTATTTAGTATTTGGATTAATTAATAAAAAAAAAAATGGAGATAACATACATATAATTAAAGTATCAAATAATTGATTTTAATTTAAAATAAATTAATAAGACAGAATTTAAAAAAATCAAGCACATTTTCTAGATTAAAGATTTTCAATAATTTACAAATAAAAATAAAAAACTATACATTAATGTTCATTCCAAGAACGATAAAAATCATGATTAATGTATTTATAATTTTCTGATATTTATTACAATTAATTATCATTTAAAAAACATTAAAGAAATAGTTAATATTAGAAAAATCATAAAATGTATATTTCTATTTAAGTACTCCCTCCGTTCCTTTATAATTGTCGTTTTTAGCTTGTGCACAAATATTAAGAATCTCAATAAATGTTGCTTAATTTTAGAAAAATATATGTTCTTATACTAAAATGCCCTTGCCAATAATTAATGTGAGAGAGTGTTTGAGATAGTTAATAAGGGTAAAATTGATAATTACACAATTAATGCATTATTGGAAATGTAAAGTGACAGATAATATGAAACAAAAATAATTTTAAAAAAAGAGACAGTTATTGTGGAACAGAGGGAGTATAATTTATAAAACCATAAATAACTAATTTTACCAATTAATTACCATTTATAAGTATTCGAATATTTAAGGAAATTATAGAGGTTCAATGTCTACCCACTTGAGCATCCTTTTCCCGAAAATTATTTTAGTGTGTATGCGTGTATTTGGGCTTTTTGTTTACTTATTGACATATTTATTTTAAGATATAAATGCACATGGGGACTTCAATGCATATACGGGGATAATTACTAATTTCATAAATATTGTACATTAACCCTGATTTGAATAAATATATCACATTAACCTCATTTTCATTATTTTTTGAAAAAATATTTTCTTTTCTGATTTTTTTTTTCTTTTTGAATAGTTAAAAATGTTATTACTTAAAATCGGATCTATAATCAATATTTTGGAATAAAATATACTAAAATTATTGTAAACATTAAGTTTATATCAATGTTGTAAGAATGGAATTGGTTATGGATTTTTGATTTTTTTTAGGGCAAATTACAAAGACCCCTGAGGTATGGTCAAATTTCGAAAGTCCCCCTCATGTTTGGCTAACTACAACCACCCCTCAACTATAAATCTTCTTATACGTCCACCCTTGTGGTTTCAAGTTTAGTGGAGTCATCTAGATTATATGGAATATTATCACTTTTGAATCCGTTTTATCCCATTAGAACTCTACATTTTGAAGCAGGATGATCGTAATATTTATTTTTTTGCTTGTATATATTATAAACTGTACTTTACACAAAACGAGTACAAACTAGAGCACATTCCACGAAATCTAGATGATTATGTTGAATTTGACACCATAAGGTGGATGTGTAAGAAAAAATCATAGTTGATGGGTAGATGTAATTATTCAAACAAGAGGGGGATTTTTCGTAAATTGACCATACCTCAGGGGTGGTTGTAAATTACCCTTTTTTTAATATGTCATTGTTGTATTAATTTTAATATTTTAAAATTACTATTTCCTTTACCTCGTTCGGTTAGCGCTATAAGGTTTTACTAACTAAATAGTAGGGGCTAATAACACGTTCGGTTGACACATTTTTTCGAACCCGCTACTAAAATCAAAGTCCGCTATTAAATTATACTCTTGTATTAAATTAGTAGCATCCTTCCCCTAAAGACTAATTTAATAGGGGTGATTAATAAGAAAAAAAACAATTTTATCCTTAAAATCATATCATATTATTTTAAACAAAGTAACTCAATTTAACAAATTTAATAGAAGATCTAATCTAAGAAACCGAATATGCTACTAACTAAATAATTAATTAGACAGTAGGGAGTTAATCTAATCTCATCTAATCCAATATAGATAACCGAACGAGCCCTTAATTTCTCACCTATTAATTTCCGTACGGCCGTTTAACACATCCCGTAAGTAAATCACCAAACCAAATTATGCAAACGAGGCCATTTGCCGACTCCTTGAGAAGGTGCCAAACGGCAAGTAAAAACATCGTATTCTTGAATTTGGAACGAAATAATCTCGAAAGTTTTCGGGCAAAGTATAATGAAGATTAAGTAACAAAGAACGAAAACTATTCGATTACATGTGACTTATTATATGAACAATTGAAGCTAAATACAAAGTATATATAACTTTGCAAGAGCAAAATAATAATACATATTATCTCTACCTTTTCCACAGAAATTGAGTGAGGAGTGAGAATGAATATATTCCTTTCTCCACATTAATAATAAATTAATAATACATATCTACCCTTTATATATATGCCTTAACCAAATTTATCCACTCTCATGAGCTTCCACCAGGATAAATACACTTATCATAACCTGCATAAACAAAATTCACAAAATTCAATCATTGGTTCATAAATAAGAACATATACATACCAATAATATATATATATATATATAAGCATAAATCATCGAACGAAAAATCTATTTCTTACTAGGATTAGTGGAGGTGAGAGTGGCAGTCTGTGAGAAATCACAGTTCCACGGTTTCTTCTCCGAAGATTGATACAAGACATTCATAGCGTAGCTTGCATGAGAAGCAACTGTGGATGGTTCGAAACAAGCTCCACCTGGTTGGATAGGGCTACAGTCTAAGCCTTGTCCGCAAACGTAATCCAAATTTGCTTGTAGTTGTGCATCCGATACACCTCCCTTTGGCACGCACCAATAAGCTTCCTTCTCGGGCTTTGGGGCAGGATTAATCGTCGGTGTTTTTGGTGTTGATGGAGTCGTCTTCATAATAGGAATCAAGAAAACTCGTTTTTTACTCGCATGTAACAAAATTGCATAAAAAGATACACATTACCTAAATCTCATATATCAAGAAAAAGGATTTTGCAAGCATGTCATACTTGCTCAATTGCAGTTCTAGTAAAAAAATGATTACCGTTTTGTTACTTTTTATCGAAAAGCGAGGATTATAGCCAGCCCCATCTAACTAAACTTTAAATTAATCTTATTACCTGGCTAGTCTTGGAAAGCCCGACATCATAGGTCATGGTTAAGTCGGGCTTGAAAAGCCCGAATGATCTCTCGGAAGTTGGGCCGGGCTTTTGGTCTTCGTCATACACTGCAAAGAGATACGTATCCACGGATTTTCCAGGCATCAATGGAGTTCCCACCATAGATCTCAAGTGTGCAATCAAATTCCCGTTATAAGCCTTTGCATTCTCGACGCTCGGGCCAACCTCATTGCTGTCCCCCTTGTACGGCCACCCTGTTTCGGCGACCACAATTTCGACGCTATTGAATCCCATAGCGTCTAATGCAGATCTAATAGCATCCACCTGCAAAAAAAAAAATGAATTAATTCATTTACTCGGTAAATTATAAGCTTTTCAAGTCCATGATAACAAATTCAATGGGATTGTTTGGATAATTCATTTTACGATGAGAATAGAATAAATTCTTAGTTGTAACATTGAACTCGTTTTTTAGTTACTGTAGTGGATTTGAAAGATGGCTGATTTACGAGGCAATTGAAATCATTAACTCAAATCCTCTTTTCAAATCCATATCATTCAATTCAAATCCAAACTACGTGAAATAAACTTCTTGATGGAGGAATAAAATCGAAACAACGTTAGTGCCTGCAAGAATTAGTTTTTATTTTCCCTATTTTTTCCTAGTAACTCCACTCAATTATTTCCATTGTATACAACTCCGTCATTGACTTCGTTTCAGGGTCGTTGCGAAAACTAATAGATATGCATAAATTACACAAAGAAACATATATAAAGGTGACTAAAATACCATTAACTTCAATTGATTCTCTTTTGACTAATTAAAAGCGATTAATGCAAACTTGAAAAAATTATAACTAATGCATCATCAAAATTTAAAATGATAAATGATTTGGAAAAAAAAAGTTATTTGAAGCCACAAATGGAGTATTTACTATTTAAACACAGTGCAATTTTATTCAAGTAAAAGGTCAAGATTTTATACTTAATATTGATTATTGAAAGAAAAGCACTAAACAAAATACGCTAAATTGGAAGAATGATTGATAAACAATTAACTAGAACTAACCTGAGCATCAAACATGTTAGTATACTTGATCTTGGAGCCAGAATCAACCCGGCCCGAATTAGGCTGGAACAAGCAGAATGCAAGAGTCTCGGGCCTCGGGTCGCTCCTGTAAGCAAAATACGGGTACGGGTTAATCGCAAATGGCGATCCGGTGGCTTTATTAAACCCCAACAATCCCTTCAATAAATCCCCAATACTTGGATCAAAGCTCCCGGAGGAGGGAGGATCGGACTGCCGCAGCACCGCCATGGAATGGACAGTAGAGACCTTGATTTTCCCGCCTAAATCGGCGGAATCGAGGGCATTTTGGAGATTCTGCATCGCCGGCAGCAGCTGAGCCATCAGATTCCGATCGTTGTACGACATCACTTCATTGCCGACGTTTATGAGTATGATTTTGCTGGCCGGGTGGAAGGGGGCGACGTTGGCGCCGATCCAGTTTTTGGCGAAGTTCGGATCCGCCGCCATAGCCGGTATGTCGGAGTTGGATACTCCGATTGCGATTCCGATTCCGGTGTTGGCGAATGCCTTGATTACCGCAGGATCCGAACCGTAGAGACGCACCTTCTCGATTGCGGTGGACTGGAGGAGCTTCGCCGTCGCCTCCGGCGGCGGGAGATTGTCGGCGACCTGGCCGTAGTTCACTCCGATAAACGACTGCGATTCTGAATAGGAAACGAAAATTCAGATCATGAATTAAGTTACGGAGAGAAATGAAATACAAGTAGTGAGTCTGAATGCTGAATTAAAAAAAAAAAAAAAAAAAAAAAAAAAAAAAAACTTACTGGAGAGTGGAGTGAAACTGAAGAAAAGGAAGGAATAGTACAGTAGAATCGGCACCGCCATGGATGAACTACTCTGTGTTCTCTTCTTCGACAGAGAATTGGGAATAAAGATTTGGTGGGAGAAGGAAGAAAAAGGAAGGCGAAAAAAGTTTTGCAGAAATTTGTACGGAGGAAGAAGAACGTGTGTGTGTGTGTGTGTGTGATTCTACCGTTTTATCATCAATTACTGGAAACTGTGTGGGAAAGGGTATTATTGTCCTTTTTGGTGGAATTTGAAAGGGGTAGATATGGAATTACGGTTGATTTGGAGGCTTGCTGTGTAAATACCAAAATAACCTCCATAGTAGCCGTTACGTACACTGGTCCTAGATGAGTAGATTCTGTGTCGACTGCGGTGGACTCCGGTCTAAGTGACGTTTTTTATATTTATATTTATTTTTTTATATATTTAGTAAATAGGGTTGACAATCGGGACATGCAAGTTGAGTTTGGGTTGACTCAAGTCTACATATCATTGGAGCTCGTTCCTATAAACTTAGTTCACGTATAATTATTGAAGTCAATCCGAACAAACCCTAAACGATCTTTTGTAAATTGGTGGACAAAGTTAGGAACAAGACGAAAGAAGTTAAAAAGAAAAGATTAGTATCTCTCGAAAACGTCCTAGATTCTCAAATTTCGGTGATAAATTTCATCAGCTCGGTTTGGATGAGTATGTTGCATTTGATTCATATTTCTCCTATTGCCACCGCCACCACTTAATCCTTTTAATTTTTTACTCTTTTTTTTCGAAATTAAATAATCTTGTATGATAGTAACTTGTATGTTGGGCCATATCATTAAAATAATAAATATATTATATATTTTATTATTAAATTAATTGGTCGGACCTCATTTGGGTTGAGCTATATTAAAATTAAACTTGGCTTATAAAAAAAATTGGACTTAGTAAAAAGACTCAAAACCAGTTCGACTCACGAAAAAATAGGTTCGGCTCAAATATAATGGGCTCGAGCCATGGGGCTTTAGTTATGGGCGATCAATAGCCAATTGTTTCCATAAACATACGGATAACGCGAGTTAGTAAGTTCAAATATAACGTGGATCAACACTAAGGGTGAGATTTTGAACAATTTTTTTATTTTTGATTTTCGAGGGAAGGAACGATTTCTTTATAGTTTCGTAAATTTCTGCATTATATGGAAAAATATTTCCTATCTGAATTTAGAAAATTTGAATTTCCGATTTTTACAATTTTTTTGGATTCAAATACATGCGCGACAACCTAATTATAGTTCGTACTATTTCATTGTCGGCCTTAATTCTTATAACAAATCATTACGATTATATATTTATTTTTCAGATCTTGGATAAATATTCCCCAATAATTGTTCCTTTACATGTGCAGAAACCACCTTTTTTTTTTATTTTCTTTAAGATTGACAAAAATTTTATTATGTAAAGCATCTAGTTCTTATTACATGATGGTAAGAATAAATGGTTGCTTTGAAGAATTATAGCATAAAGGTGTTCCAACTTTTGGCTGGACAGCATAATACCTTAGCAAGTAAGCTTAAACAACAATATTATTTAGGAATATATGTTCCCAATTTACGATTCATCGATTTGATTCGAGTTTTCAACTTTTTAAATAACTGTTTCACACTAAACACACATACACATGGGTGTGAGTAATTATGTATATATTAACGGTTAATAATCGCCTGACGTGTTTTACCGGGTAGCATCAAATAAACCATAAACACGAATAATTTGTTTCATCCACAACTCATTGGACATTGCTACATCGTTTATTATATCATTAAATATGCATATACATTTATATTCGTAGTAAGTTTTAATAAAACTAAAAACCTTACGATATGTGATTTAAAATTTTCGCAAAACAATTTTCGATTCGATTTTCGTTTTCTTTTCGCCAAATGGTGGCTCTTACTCTAGTGATCGATATACAGGATACATGTCGGATACAAATACTCCAAATAAAATATTTGAAGATTAATAATGCATGATTTTTTTTGTGTAAGCAAAAAAAAATTATATTTTATGATGCCTCTATATGCAAGTAGTTATACTTATATTTTCACATAAGTAAATTAAATAGTTTCAAAACCGGCTTCAATTCATTTTCTTAAATAAAATTAACATATATTATATCATCTGATATATTTTCCTCTTTGTTCTATCATACGTGCAACTTAATAATAAGATAAAAAATTTCCAGTAAAAAATAAAATAAGATTAAAAATATTTTTACATTGTAAGTGAAGTAGAATGTGAAAAAAGCAGTGCAAAAAAAATTAATAAATTGTGAGCGCCGTCTGTGGGAATCGAACCCACGACCACATGGTTAAAAGCCATGCGCTCTACCAGCTGAGCTAAGACGGCTTAGTGGTAAACTTTTTTCGGTTTAATAATATATTATATACTTTAAATTTTACATAATAAAATGTTTATTCTTTTTCCTCAAGATGATTTGTGGTGGCTCTCTTAAACATATAAACTTCAGTCAAGTAACTCATTCAAAATCCTATAAGCTTTCGATTTAAGTCTCTTATAATTTGGACATGTATATAATACGACGGGTTGTTATGTGCTACACTCGACCAACTTCATCGAATTATATCTTACTATACGCATATATGGAATACTTTCATCTTTGTAGTGATATATTTTTAGGGTGCAAATTTTCAATTCATTTTTGTTTTATTTTGCTCAATTGTTCTACAAAGTACAAAGTGCAAATTAAAAATAAAAATCTTATTAGATTACTTGAAAATTTAAATTGAAAAATCTTATATAAGGTGTATTTGATTTGGTATTTTCATCTTTTCAATACATATATCTTCCTTACAAAATTTATTTTTTCTTCAACCACTCTCACCATATTATTTGGAAAATATATTTTCTTAAATTCCACAAAATATTTATTTTACCATATTATAGGGTGTAGCAAGGTAATATTTTGATTTCATATTTTGCATTCGGAACTAGGTTAAAGGGTGGTGGAAAGTAATTTTACGAGATATTTTTATTCAATACAAGAATTTCAACAAAGCTAGAGGACTAGATGGCAATTATCATTTATCAAAATACCACCAAGCATGCGTAGCATGTTGAAAGACGTTGCCCAGGTATCCCTACAAATCAAACAACCTACTCCAACCGTTGAAATATACAATGATCTAACAAGAGCCGTCCGATTAAAACGGCATACCTTACGCAAAAATCCCTCATATATCATTCTCTTTCATCCAGCCGTTGAAAATAATAACCCAACACTCGTTTACAGCCGTCGGATCATCTCAGCTCCTTAATATATAATCTCTACGTTGCATGTTGTTATCTAATTATTATTAGTTGTTTAGTTCTATCGCCGCTTAGGGTTCAGCTCTCTCCTCCTCCGATCTATACTTCGCAACTTATTTTTCATCTAATTTTTTGTTATGGATTTTAGGATGTTGGATCTCGAAATAATTTTTCGATTCGACGGCCGAGATGATTTCACAAATTGTCATCCAATTGGCCGGCGAGTGTGGTTTCGGAATTCGGATCGACGATTTTCGGGTTGGTCGGGTTTGGTTTTCAACGATTTGATGCTCCGGTAATTTCACAGATCTGGTGTTTGTTTGCTACTCTCGTCGATTGATGATTTTCTGCCCAAATTTTTTTCGGTGATTGTCAGATTACGTTAACAATCTGATCAATTCTTTTTTTTTGGTAACGAAGGTACCCGCAGCCTACCATACGTGTGTAGTGGATAAATCTACATTCTCGTATAATAGCTTGCAAACCATACGAGAGACGTGTGTAGTGAATAAATCTACATTCTCGTATAATAGCTTGCAAACCATACGAGAGACGTAAACTACACTAGGCTAACTATACTGTGGGTAAGAGGAAGGGGATACGAACCTCGCGCAATTGATGCGATTCATCCGACGAAGATTGTTTCTTGGCCTGTAATTTGTTGATGCCTTACACAGAAATTCATATATTTTAGCGAGAAGATAGAGAGATAGAGAGGGACTCGTATGGTTGTCCGTCTCTCTAATCGACCTTTGCCATGAAGGGTGCGCTCGCATGGCAGGTCACCTACTCAATAAAATATTATTTTTTGTGTCGGAGGGGAGATGGCACGGCGATTTGGCCCGGCTCACCCCTCCGTGTGTGTGTTCTCTTTTTTTTCTTTTCGTTTCAGTCACACTCATATATAGTCATATACAGCCAGTCACCCAACACACTTAAATTATCAGCAACTCAACAGACACGTCCGATATCGATTGAGTTTGGTTACAACTATCTTAACCAACACCATACCCAAAAATCACCAAAACATTCGAGTAAATTCAACGAGCAGGCGTATTTCTTCTCGACATCAACTGCGCACAGAGGTACATTTTTTAGCATGATTTTATACCAAAGTAAATTCAACTAGCAGAACGAATGATTGTTTGTTGCAAATTATAGCATTTTACACAAGCAAGCTTTATTTTAGTGTTTCTGTGTTGATTTGTACTCTTAATCTAAATTTCCATTCAACTGCAGTTAATTTATTATACCAGTTCAATTTGTTCATGTTTCTTTAGTTCAGCAATTTAATTTAGTTTATATTTATTTTCTAGTTTAGTTTCGTTTGTACGACGGTCGTTGCTTTATTTTAGCGGAATTTTTCTAATAAACGGGAGTTTTTTAATGTCTCATCGTGTATTTTGGCTTGCAACGTTTAATTACAGGTCTTTAATGCATATATTTTTCATTTGATTATCTGTTGGAATGTGTCTAATGTTCGTATTTTTCTTGTTTTCCGATACATTATACAGAGTCTCTTAAGTTTGGGTAAAAGTAAAACCGATTTCCAAGCGGTCGAGGATGCACTTGGTTGATTGGTTGCACTGCGAGAGTTATATATATTACCGGACTCGGTTTCATTAAACCGATGGCTCCCTTGCCTTAGGTGAAGATGTGTTTCGGAATTTATTTGGATCGGAATAGAAAGTTGTGCTGGAACTTGGAATGCATGTTCTACTATTGAAAATGTGTTTCGGAATTTATTTGGATCAGAATAAAAACATATGTATAAGGTTTTGATTTTTGATTCGATATTAATTTTCAAAAATAAATTCAAAAAATTCTATTATTTCTTCGACAATTACATTAATAGTATCAATACTTTATGTATTTTATATTATAAGTGAATAATCGATTTTGATTCAGAAAATTATGATGTTGGACAGAAAAAATTCAATTTAGTTTCCATTTTTTTTCGACTTCCTTTGTAACTCCGAGCCGTCCGATTTTCATCACCATTAAGTAGTATCAATTATTTCATGAAAAATAAAATTTATTATTTCTTACATCTTATTGATTGATATATGCCTTTTAAGTTTTGCCTTAGATATCCTAATGGCTAATAGAAAATCCCATCTTTGTAATTAGCAACTATTTTGTAGAAAGTTGGAAATATATTATTACCATAGGTCTAAAACAATAAAAGATTCCTTGATGAAAAATAGAATTTAATGGAATTTATCCTAATTATTATACAAAGTGCAAATTACGACCATCCTGAGTTTATGTCAAATTATGAAAACCTTCATTCTGTTTGGATAATTACAGCCATCCTAATTATGTATTATCTTACGAAAAAATTCTTCCACATTCAAAAGTAAATTTAGTGAACGAAATAACCGAATTACGTAAATTTTATTGAAAATATGTAAAATGAGGGGTGGCGATAATTACTTGAATAAGAGGTTTTTTTTTTTTTAATTTATCTTACCTTAGTGTGCCCGTAATTTGCTCCTATACAAAAAATAAGGAATTCAATATTCGTAGTCGGGAGGATAATTATGTAATATACCATACCTATTACCTTCTTTGGGGTTGCAGAGAAATTTCATCAAAGATAGAGGTCTAAGATGATAATTATAAAAATATGGCCTAGCGTGCGTAGCATACTGAAACACGTTGCCCATACATATCTCGATCTATAATTCTATATAAACCGCCCACCTTTTGACTTTGCCTATAATTCTGTTCCCGTCAAACCCCACATCACCACGCGTATCCAGCCGTTGAAATATCCTCACAACACTCGTTTGTAGCCGTTGGATCACCTCACTCCCCTTAATAAATACTGTCATACATTTTGTTATTTAATCGCGTATTCTCCCTTTTCTATTGCCTATGCTTTCAGCTTATTTTTTTTTTTTTCAATTTCTGCTAATTCTTGTAGATCGTGAGATTACCTTCTTTTCGGCTATGGATTTTAGGATTTTGATTCCCGAAATAATTTTTCGTCCATTTATTTCAGCGTAAATCTGATATTGTGTTCGTGGATCGTCATCCAATTGGCGAACGCGGTTTCGGATCGATGAGTTTCGGGTAGATCTGCTTCGTTTATGAACCGCTTGCGGTTTCTGATCGATGAGTTTCGGGTACATCCGTTTTTTATGCACCGGTTGCGGTTTTGGATCGATGAGTTTTGGGTAGAACTTTTTTGGTTATGAACCGATTGCGGTTTCGGATCGATGAGTTTTGGGTTTGAACCGATTGCTGCTGGTATTTTACAGATCTGCTCATAACATGTTCTATTTTTTTTTTATTTTTTTTTTTTTATTTTTAGTATAATTTTGTGTTCCGTAATGTGATCTTGGTATTTTGTTTGATCTGTAGCAGTGATTTGTGGGCGGAATCTTCAATCTGATTTCAGAAAGGTGTATTCCGTTTAACGGAATCATCTACCCGGGGCACTTTCGGTAATCTACTAATCTCACAAACTTATCATCTCGTAATTGATTACCTGCTTGTTCGTCAATTTTCTCTAGTTTTTAGATTAGTAATTAACCAGCTCATTAATTATATATATATATGATCCCGAGTTGTGTTTGTAGCTTTGTTCTACACAATTGATGCGGATTTATCTGATGATGATCGTTTGTGAGTTATTTTGGCGTGCGGAGCCTGAAGTACAATCTCATACGGAACAAGGTTCTTATGATTTGTGTGTGCTATTTTACATGGAAATTCTTAGTCTGTATTTCTGTAAAAAAAAAAAGAGAGGTAGTCGGAGTCGAGAAAAATAGATAGACCGGGTATATCGACCTTTGCCATGATGGGTGTGCTCGCATGGCAGGTCACCATTTAATAAAATATATTTTTTTGTGTTGGAGGGGAGATGGCACGGCGTTTTGGCCCGGCTCTCCCCTCCGTCTGTGTGTTGTCCCCCTCTTTTTCCGTTTCGGTCACATACAGTCACACATACAGTCACTCCGACACTTCAATTTTCAGCAACTTATCGGTTTGGTTACAAATATTATCGTAACAAAAAAATTATACCCCAAAATCACCACAATTGCGAGTAAATTCAGCGAGCAGGCGTATTCAATTGATTGGGTCTTCCGAACATCCGCGCACAGAGGTACAAATTTTGTTTCTTCGAAAAATAATATTCAATGTTTCATTTCACTAAATCTTATTATCACTATGGAGTTTATATAGAATTTAGTTTATTTTACGGGAATGTAATCAAAATCAATTCTCACTTCCATTTTATTTCAAGCTAATATTTAAATTTTCGGAGCTTGACTTTAAATATCTCTTGTACTACTAGTAATTCATTTACTTATTCTATTAGTTAATTCCCTGGTTGTTTGAGGGAAACTTTATTGTTGTTGGAGCCAGTCTTGTAATAGTTTGTTTTGTCAAATTGTCGGAGGAAAACCTCCTTTGTCTAGTTGTAGTGATTTCCAAATCTCGGGATTATGCTTGCTGTAATGGATGCTTCAAAGCTGCTGTTGCTCGTCCTAGCATTATTGATTGAAGCTGGTGATTATATGCTGGGGCAGACGGACTATGATTTTAGCAATAAGAAATTTTGCTGATTTTTCACTGAGATTATACAATTTCGGAGCATAAATTAGTGAATCTATATTATCTTTCATCTGTGCCTTATGTTTGGAGGGGAAGCTTTAAATGCACTTATTTACTTTTGTCCGCAATTATATATATATTTTTTATTTTTTTGATATATATTTGATTTATTGGGCAAACCGCATATGTGTCTAATTATATACAGAGTTTTTATTTGATTCCTTTACGTATGTATATACAGAGTTCGCTAGGTTTTGTGGCAATGAGTTTGACGAGCGCGAGGATTTTTGATCATGGTTTGTTTCATGGGATTACTGTAGTGTTCTCTAATCAAGAGGAAGGACTCACTGAGTTACGGGTGTGGAGAAGCTTTGTAGGAGAATGCGGGTGCTGAAATTATGTGTTTAAACCTGAAACTTAACAAGCTTCTGGAATTGTGGTTAGTTTTATCTCGTAGACTAAGAATTTTTAATGATTCCTAAACAGTATTAAACTTGCACTCATTCTCCTGGTAATACAGTTTGGATATCTTTTATGGTTTTTTTTTTTTATTATCTGTGTAAATATTTAATAGAATTTATTCTTCTAATATGCCTTTTACTCCTTGTACATGTAAGTTGTTAATAGGAATCTGTCAAATTTTGTTAATTTAAATATTCGCATTCAAAATTGGTGCTCGGGATAAACCTACTACACTCTCGTATTATAGCTTGCAAAATCATATGAGAGAAGCTGTCCGTCCATATGCGACAAACTCGACTTAACGACCATTGGCAAGGGGTGTGTGCTTGTTGTATGAATGAATCCATAAGCTCAAAAATGGAAGAGCGCTCAATCACTTTTTTGTGCATTGAGAGGATGGTGGTTCGAATCCGCCTGGGTTCCTTATAATTGTTAATTTTTTTTGTATATGATTTTCCTTTATGTTATTTAAGTGTAGAAAAAAGATATTTAGTTTTATTTAAACATTCGTGGTAATCTTGAAAATTGGGATACAATATGAATGAGTTCAAACAAATTAGTAACTTCATTTTATATTTTGCATGATTATATATTTTTCTCCCTTTTTCTATTTAAAATAAATATAAAAAAATTATCTTCAATATATGCTATGTGGTGTCAAATATCAATATTCAGAAAATTCGATTGCAAGGAAAGTTAAGTACCATACCATGCCTACCAAGGGTTGCATAACAATTTCATCTAAGTTAGAGGGCTATATGACAACTATAAAACTTCCAAGGGGTCTCAGAAGCATTTTTACGTAGCTAGAGGGCTAGATGACAAATTATAAAACTATCGCAAAACATGCGTAGCACGTTGCCCAGCTATTAAGCCGTCCGGTTTAACCGGCCTACCTTGTCTATAACTCTGTCTCCGTGTAACCCCACACCATTCAAAACACATCCAGCCGTAGAAAATATCCTCCAACACTCGTTTGTGGCCGTTGGATCATCTCACCCCCTTACTATATAATGTCTGCATCCCGCTACATTAAACTAATCGTCATCTTAATTCTATCGCCGCCTCGGCTCAATCTCTCTTCTCCTCCCATCTACACTTTGTATTTTATTCCTTTTTTCAATTTCTTTTGTTATTAATTCCTGTAAATCGTGAGATGATCTACTTCTTGGCTATGGATTTTAGGGTTTTGGTCCCCGAAATAACTTTTGTGCAGCTGAATTTAGGTTTCGGATCGATGAGTTTCGGGTAGATCAGATTCGATTATGAGGTAATTTACAGATCTGGTACGGCCGGGCGTTTCTCAACGGCGGCGGATCTGATACGGCCGGGCGTTGCTGTATGGCGGCGGATCTGATACGGCCGGGCGTTGTTGCTCTACGGCGGCGGCGGATCACTAAAGTTGGATTCTGTTTAACGGAATCATCTACCCGGCATTTAAGGTAATTTACAGAGAAATACCATCTCGAAATTGATGATTTTTATTTTTTTCGCGAATTTTCTGTAGTTGTTGAATTGTGTGTTACGGAGCTGGATAATTATGTAATTGCAGATGTGGTGTACGCAATTGATGCAATACAGTGGAAGATGATTGCTTGTTGGCCTGAGATTCTTCAATGCCGATTTTTTTTGTTTTTTTGGTAGGATAGTTATTGAAAAAAATAGAGAGATAGAGAGGAAATAGGTATGGTAGTCTCTAATCGACTTTTGCCATGAAGGGTGCGCTCGCATGGCAGGTCACCCACTCAATAAAAAAATATTTTTTGTGTTGGAGGGGAGATGGCACGGCGTTTTGGCCCGGCTCTCCCCTCCGTGTGTGGTTCGGTTTTTTTATTTGCCTTCCTCCTTAGTCTCACAAGCACGCGCGGCACCCGATTATCAACTCAGCAACTCGACAAGTACATTTGGTTTTTATTGGGGTTGGTTACAACTATTATATTAGCAAATTCTAAACCCATAGCAATTGCCAAACATCACCATAAATCATCCAAAATTCGACCGGCAGGCGTATTCATCCATTTGAGCTCGACAATCAACCAATAACGAGGTACAAATTTATTTTCATTGATAATTGGATGTCCTAAGCTTAGTTCTTGCTGTTTATTCAACATAGCAACAGAGTTATGATTTAGTATGACAAACAAGCCAATTTTTTAACGACTTACGAATACAATGTTGTACTGTTGTATCTCATGGTTGCTATTTCTTGTTGGCATAAAGTTTTCTGTACTAAATCTATTGAAATCAGTTATCAATTTATTTTTTAACTTAAATTTGTGGTTGTTTGAGGCAAGTTCCGTTGTGATTATCTAGTTTGGAGACAAGGCATCTTGTATGTAATATTCGTAGATAGAGATGTAAATTCTGGTGTATAGTCGGAGCTGAGAACTTGCTGTATTGGATGTTGGAGCAATAATATATTCGATGACGTGGCATTTGGTGGTTATATGCTCGTGGCGAGGAAGATGATCTGCTCTGGATTCTGCTCTGGATTCTGCTCTGTTAAAACTGTTTATGTTCCTTGATGCTGATGGTGGAAGATTTTGCCGACGACTTCTTGTTTTAAATGGTATAATCTCATTCAAAGAACCGAACTTTGTTTAGATTGAAGAGAATATTTTTTTCCGGCAATGTCTGCAGGTTATTGTTGTCATTTCTGAACTTGTCACCTTCCTAGTGTCTATATGATTGAAATATTTTCAAGTTTCGACTCTTGATACTAGCAATATATATAATTTTAATTTAGTTTATTAGTTTACGGTGTTTATTTTTGTTGAATGTTTGTTAAAATTGAGTGTCTGATATCTTGAGGGTTAGCTATATTTCTTGTGTGTTTATCACTAGGTATTTTAAAAGAATGAAATGTGTTGATGATTAACTTTAAAATTAATTCTTGCTGTTTGGAAGTTGAAGAATAGAACCCTAGTGAAAAAGTGAACCAAGTAGGGATATTTTAGTTTAGGATGTGCGTTTGTTCGATGAATAGATCCAAAAGCTCAGAAATGGGAGAGCGCTCAATCACTTGTGTGAATTTGAGAGGATGGTGGTTCGATTCCACCTGGGTCTCCTTATGATATTAACTGTATATGATTTTCATTCAATTTCGAATTAAACAATATCTGATGTATGATTTTCATTCAATTTCGAATTAAACAATATCTGATGAACGATCGTTGATGAAGAGAAGCTGATTAAGGCAATCAGCTTAAAAAATTGCATTCTTGATTTTGCCTCGATTGATGAAGGCTGCTGAAGCAATACTAGTAATGAATGAACAGTCGGAGTCGATCTTGAACCATTGAGAGGGGGGCTTGTTCCATTGCTCGGAGAAAGGCTGTCAAGCTTTGAGTGCACTTGAAAGTTGGCTGGTCTAGTGAGAGATACAGCCTTGTTGGAGCCTGGAGGTGATTGGGAGCAGATCCTTCCGGCAAAAAGGGCTCCGATTGTTTACCTCATCAACGCAAGGGGCAGAGAGAATGTTTACGAGGGTTTTTTAGATGCTCCACCCGGTGGAATACACCCGGCGACATTGAACCATTGGTTTACATATAATAAAACATACCCACCCACTCACCCATGTGTATACGTGCTTAGCGGGTGATTATAGTTCAAAATCTCCCGGCGTAATAGGTGTATAGCATCTTAGGCCTTTTACGAGTTTATGTTTGATGTCATTATTTTCTAATTAATAAATTCAGCATATAACTTCAAAAAAGAAAGAAAAAAAGTCAATGTTGAAAATATCAAATACGTTGCCAACCTATACGATGGAATGGAAATTTAAATTTATTATTATTATTATTATTTTTTTAATTTCGCCAATTGTTGTTTGATTTTTTTTTTTATAAATTTTTTTCATAATTCCAAAATACTCTAATATTCAAATTTTTTTCAAGAACTTTCTGGATGATATATATATGGAATCTTGATTTTTGATCCGATATTAATTTTCATTAAAAAAAGTTTTTCTCAAAAAAATATATTTACTATAAATATTACTATATATTTTATATTATTGGCGAATGCCAAAAAAAAAAAATGATATTTTGGGTTTTCGATTGTGATCCATAAAATTTCGGTTATTGAATAATTATTTTAATTCCAATTTCCGATATTATTAAGAAGATAATTGAATTAATTATCAACTGGGACACTACGTGAAATCCCCTCTATAAATAATGTCCACCCCTCGGGGTGCAAACATCATCTCCCCTTATTTCTGTCTCCCTCTAGGGTTCTTCAACTCCTTTGGATTCTACAATTTTGGTTCCCCCAATTAATTAGGTTTTGTCCGTCCATCTGATCTGATGTTGGATCGTCAATCGTCATCCAATTCGCCGCCGTGGTTTCGGATCGATGCCGTTGATCGCTTTCGATTTTTCATCGGATTGAGGTATATTTTTAATTAATACATCTCCTCGATCGGTAGTTTGTGTTATTAAAATTATATATTAATTGCGCGTTCCATGCATATCTGATTTTGATCTTTGTTCGCTCTGAAAGAGTACTGATCTATGCAAGAGGATGAAATCGGAATATATGGATTCCGTACGTTTAATAGAAGCTAAGAATCTTCCCAGTTCTTGAGGTGATTTGTCATATGATATACTTATTTTTATCTTATATATTGATTTGGTTCTTGAATTCTCTATAGCTATTTTTGGATTGTGTGTTAACCGGATGGTCAACTTTTTATAATCCTCGATCGATTGTCATTCAGGTGTGTATATCCAGTTAATCCGATTAGCCGACGGTGATTGTTCGTCTTCGTCTACTTGTTTCAAGATTTTAGTCTTGACATAGTTATGTAAGAGAAAGAGAGTTAGTCATGTGATTCATGAGATGATAGAATATGATGATGCCGATAAAGTTGTCTACCCTATCGACCTTTGCCATGAAGGGTGCGCTCGCATGGCAGGTTACCGAATCAATAAAAGTATCATTTTTGGTGTTTGGAGGGGAGACATGGCGCGGCTATTTGGCCCGGCCCGGCTCTCCCCTCCGGGTGTGTGTGTGTGTTGTCTTCTTTCCTTCCCTTTCTTCTTACCGCCATGGCAACACTTCTCAGAATTCAATCGTAAAAAAGTAAAAAAATAGTACCCAAACAAATGTCTGCTGAGTTAATTCAGTGTGATGGAGTTTTAACCAACACATTCCACCCAAGTTTGAATATTTGTTTGATCAAGGACAGAGCAACCGACTTATTATACATTTTGTTAAACAAGCAAGGTTCAAATTTCCAGTTCGTTGTTTGTCGGAAACTTTGTGTTGTATAATGATTATGATCTAGTTCGGAGCCAAAAGGCATGATGGTGTTTGTAATAGTAGAGAGATGTAGATTCTGGTTGTATAGATCATTGGAGCCGGACCTATTTAGTGTTAGTTTGAAGCCCGTGCTCGTAGTTTCCGATCGAGAGCTTGATGATGTGGCAGCTTGTGCTTACGTGTGCTGGTGGCGATCGATGATTCTGCTATGCTATTATGCTGGAGAAGAAGATTCTGTCCGGTAGCTGTCTTGAGAGGTATGTTCTCAATCCAGAGTCTCAGATTTTTGAATTTTCGCATGTGCATTGTCCTCGAAGTTGAAGCTTTAACTGCGTATTTGAATTGCATACAAGATGTTCGATTATGTGTTAACGAGCTGGCTAATTATTAACTACTTTTTAGTTCAGGTGTGGTACGTGTTCAATCAAAGTATTATTAGCTGATGGCGATGGTTGTTGAAGCGAAGTCTCGACAATGGTTGAAGAAGCTTCTAGAGCATGTAACTAGGTATTTTCTTGTATAATTTTAGCGAGGAGAGAGAGAGAGACCGATAGAGAGATAGAGAGAGAGTCGTATGGTTGTCTCTACAATCGACCTTTGCCATGAAGGGTGCGCTCGCATGGCAGGTCACCGCATCAATAAAATATTATTTTGTGTGTCGGAGGGGAGATGGCACAGGCGATTTGCTCGGCTCTCTCCTCTGAGTGTGTCGTGCCCGTTTGTTTGTTTGTTTTTTTCTTCTCTCCGTCTTATGTTAACGGCGGCACTTCAATGTAATTTATATTTAATTTATTGCGATGGAATCTATAAAATAAAATTTTAGACTGGTTACGTTCGTTCGACTCTGTTGGAACAAGATGTATTTATCTTACATTTATTTATTGTAATTTTTTTAAATATATATATTTCGTCGGACTGTGATCAAATGGAATATCGGAAAAACCAATGGGTTTAACACCCCAAGTTTGAGGGAATTGGTGTTGTGTGTACTTAGTTTGGAGCCAACTGCCAAAGGCATGTTATTTGTAACAGTAGAGAATGTAAATTCTGGTTGAACATTGTTTAGCATGATATTTTTTTTAATTTATTTATTATTTTTTTATTATATATATATATATATATCTATATTGAAAATAATGTTAATACATTATTTCGGAGACGATATTTTTTTTTTTATTATCAAGTTATAATCAAATGAAATCCGTGTTGTTTCGAACTTCGAAGTACGGTAAATTCTTGAATTTTATTGATTAAAGAAGAAGAGATGCTCAAAGAGAGATTCAAAACTTGAGGAATGTGCAAATATATTGTCAAATGACAAATCAAATACAATTCACCAACTCTTCATTACATAATTGGATGTACTAAGTTAAATTCTCGTTTTATTCAACATAGCAACCAAGTTATGATTTAGTATGACAAACATGCCAATTTGTTTACGACATACGGATACAATGTCGTATTGTTGCATCTCATGGTGGCTATAATTTCTTGTTGACAAAAGCTTTTCTATATTAAATCTGCTGCAATCAGTTATTCGTGTCGAATGTTGTGGTAAAACTAATTTTACGTGTATTCGTGTCGAATGTTGTGGTAAAACTAATTTTCTGATATCTTGAGGATTATTGTTGTATTACTGCGTGGGAAGATTTATTCATGATGTTTCTACTGCGCCTTTGATAAGAAATGCAGTAATTAGGTACCTACCTGTAAACTTTGATCAATTAGTATTTTAATAAATTAAATGGGTTGATGATTAAATTTTAAATTAATTCATGATGTTTGGAAGTTGTAAGAAGAGTAGAACCCTAGTAAAAAAGTGAACCAAGTAGGGACATTATAGTAATTTAGGATGTTTCGTTTGTTGAATGAATAGGATCCAAAAGCTCAGAAATGGGAGAGCGCTCAATCACTTCGTTTGAGTTTGAGACGATGAAGTGGATCACTACTCACGTGCTAGATGGTCCTGAGATACCTGCGAACAGAGAACACGTGAACTAGGTTGGGAGTTGATCCGACGGAAACCCCTCCGACGCTCAAGTCAGACGTGCGGATAATAGAGGTAATTGAGAGAATACAAATTTTTGTATTGCTCAGATAATAGGACATACCTTTAATAAATGAATTATATCGTTACTTATACATTGACGATTGGGTTGCGGTTAATTTGTGGGCCCAAACTTTATTTGAAGGTGATTGGACTTTCGTAATAGTATTCTTCTAAATCGGGCTCGTGGCCCATTACGTAAAGAAATAGTAGGCAACCCAATTAGGCATATCATAACTGTATATGATTTTAATTCAATTTGAAATAAACATCATATGGACGATCATTCTTGATTTTAGCTTTGATTGATGTAGCGAGTCTTGGCAGTGGCGTAGTTCGATGAATGTGCTTAGACGACATAATGAATGTACAGTCGGAGTTGATCTTGAACCATCGAGAGGGCCGCTTATTCATTGCTCGGAGAAAGGCTGTCAAGCTTTAAGTGCGCTTGAAAGTTGGCTGGTCCAGTGATATGCGGCCTTGTTGGAGGCGATTAGCTCATCGACACAAGGGGCGGAGAGATGTTTACGAGGGTTTTATAGATGCTAACCCGTTAGAAGCGATCTTAAATCATTGATTAACATATATATAATAATACACACTCCCATGTGTACGTGTGTATCTATGGTTCAAAATCTAAGAGTGTATTACACATGGTGTATAACACCAAGTGTATTCTCGATTTCTTTTTTTAATTCTCCAATTATGATTTGATTTTTTTTTTTCAATTTTGTAGCAACCTTTTTTTAATAATTCTAAAATACTCTAATATTCATTTTTTTCCAAAATTTCTAGATCGGAATTAAAATATATATGGTTTTATTTTTTATTTCTTATCCAATTCAATTTTTTTTATAAAGAAGAGAAGATATATTTATTATAAATATTACTATATATTTTATATTATTTGGTGAATGCAAAAACAGAATTTTTTTTTTTTGATATTTCTGGTTTTCGATTGAGATCCATAAAATTTCGGTTATTGAATATTATTTTAATTCCAATTTCCGATATTACTCAGAAGATAATTAAATTAATTTTAATCCAAAATATAAGGGGGATTAACACCCAAGGGTAATAAGGTCAAACACTAATCCGGAACGTTCCCCATAAAAGGATTTAAAAAGAGGCGTGTGATTAACAAACAGTTGTACCTTATTTACAATTCTATTTCGACTGCAACTCTCTACATCAATGATCAAACTATAAATAATAAATAATTTCTGTCTCCCTCCCTCTAGGGTTCTTCAACTCCTTCTTCATCCATCTTAGATTCATTCATTCTGAGATTTGATTCATCTGCTTTTTATTTGTTTGTGGCTATGGATTCTACGATTTTGGCTCCCGAATTAATTAATTAGGTTTTGGCCGTACATCTGATTTGATGTTGGATCATCATCCAATTCTCCGACGTGGTTTCGGATCGACGCTGTTGATCGCTTTCGATTTTTCATCGGATTGAGGTATATTTTTAATTAATACATCTCCTCGATCGGTAGTTTGCGTTATTATTATTATATATTAATTGCGCGTTCCATGCATATCTGATTTTGATCTATGTTTGTTCTGAAAGAGTACTGATCTATGGAAGAGGATGAAATCAGAATATATGGATTCCGTACGTTTAATAGAAGCTAAGAATCTTCCCAGTTCTTGAGGTGATTTGTCATATGATATACTTATTTTTATCTGATATATTGGTTTGGTTCTTATAGTTGTTGGATTATATGTTGACATGATTGGTAACCTTTTAATAATCCTCGATCGATCGTCATTCAGGTATATAGATATCCAGTTAATCGGATTAGCCGATGGTGATTGTTCGTTAGTAGTTTCCGAATGCGGAATGCTTGTGTTGCGTTGCATTATTCACAGGCGAGATTGTATAGTCTTGATAGTTATGTAAAGGAAAGAGAGTGAGTCACGAGATTCTTGATAAAATAGAATATATGATTAATCATGCTGATGATTCAGTTTGTCTACCCTATCGACCTTTGCCATGAAGGGTGCGCTCGCATGGCAGGTCACCAAATCAATAAAAGTATCATTTTTGGTGTTGGAGGGGATACATGGCCCGGCTCTCCCCTCCGGGTGTGTGTGTGTGTTGTCTTCTTTCCTTCCCTTTCTTCTTACCGCCATGGCAACACTTCTCAGAATTCAATCGTAAAAAAGTAAAAAAATAGTACCCAAACAAATGTAATGTCTGCTGAGTTAATTCAGCGTGATGGAGTCTTAACCAACACATTCCACCCCAAGTTTGAATATTCGTTTGATCAACGACAGAGCAACCGACTTATTATACATTTTGTTAAACAAGCAAGATTCAAATTTCCAGTTCGTTGTTTGACGGAAACTTTGTGGTTGTATGATTACCTAGTTTGGAGCCAAAAGGCATGATGGTGTTTGTAATAGTAGAGAGACGTAGATTCTGATTGTATTTAGTGTTAGTTTGGAGCCCGTGCTCGTGGTTTCCGATCGAGAGCTTGATGATGTGGCAGCTTGTTCTAATTACATGCTGCTGACGATCGAAGATTCTGCATGCCTATGCTATAATGTTGGAGAAGAAGATTCTGTCCGGTAGCTGTTTTCAGAGGTATGTTCTCAATCCAGAGTGTTAGAATTTTTTAACTTTCGCATGTGCATTGTCCTCGAAGTTGAAGCTTTAACTGCATATTTGAATTGCATACAGATGTTCGATTATGAGTTAACGAGCTGGCTAATTATTAACTACTTTTTGGTTCAGGGCGTGTTCAATTGAAGTATTATTAGCTGATGGCGATGGTTGTTGAAGTGAAGTCTCGGCAATGGTTGAAGAAGCTTCTAGAGCATGTAACTAGGTATTTTCTTGTATAATTTTAACGAGAGAGAGAGAGACTCTTATGGTAGTCTCTACCGATCGACCTTTGCCATGATGGGTGCGCTCGCATGGCAGGTCACCGCATCAATAAAAATAAAATTATTATTAGCTGATGCCGATGGTTGTTGAAGTGAAGTCTCGACAATGGTTGAAGAAGCTTCTAGAGCATGTAACTAGGTATTTTCTTGTATAATTTCAACGAGAGAGAGAGAGAGACTCTTATGGTTGTCTCTACCGATCGACCTTTGCCATGAAGGGTGCGCTCGCATGGCAGGTCACCGCATCAATAAAAATAAAAATATTATTAGCTGATGGCGATGGTTGTTGAAGTGAAGTCTCGACAATGGTTGAAGAAGTTTCTAGAGCATGTAACTAGGTATTTTCTTTTATAATTTTAACGAGAGAGAGAGAGAGAGAGACTCTTATTGTTGTCTCTACCGATCGACCTTTGCCATGAAGGGTGCGCTCGCATGGCAGGTCACTGCATCAATAAAAATTTTATTAGCTGATGGCGATGGTTGTTGAAGTGAAGTCTCGACAATGGTTGAAGAAGCTTTTAGAGCATGTAACTAGGTATTTTCTTGTATAATTTTTTAGAGAGAGAGAGAGAGAGAGAGAGAGAGAGAGAGAGAGACTCTTATTGTTGTCTCTACCGATCGACCTTTGCCATGAAGGGTGCGCTCGCATGGCAGGTCACCGCATCAATAAAAATAAAAATATTATTAGCTGATGGCGATGGTTGTTGAAGTGAAGTCTCGACAATGGTTGAAGAAGCTTCTAGAGCATGTAACTAGGTATTTTCTTGTATAATTTTTTATAGAGAGAGAGAGACTCGTATGGTTGTCTCTACCGATCGACCTTTGCCATGAAGGGTGCGCTCGCATGGCAGGTCACCGCATCAATAAAAATATTTTTAGCTGATGGCGATGGTTGTTGAAGTGAAGTCTCGACAATGGTTGAAGAAGCTTTTAGAGCATGTAACTAGGTATTTTCTTGTATAATTTTATCGAGAGAGAGAGAGAGAGAGAGAGAGAGAGAGAGAGAGAGTCTTATGCTTGTCTCTAGCGATCGACCTTTGCCATGAAGGGTGCGCTCGCATGGCAGGTCACGGCATCAATAAAAATATTATTAGCTGATGGCGATGGTTGTTGAAGTGAAGTCTCGACAATGGTTGAAGAAGCTTCTAGAGCATTTAACTAGGTATTTTCTTAGAGAGAGAGAGAGAGAGAGAGAGAGAGAGAGAGAGAGAGAGAGAGAGAGAGAGAGAGAGAGAGAGAGAGAGAGAGAGACTCTTATGGTTGTCTCTACCGATCGACCTTTGCCATGAAGGGTGCGCTCGCATGGCAGGTCCCCGCATTAATAAAACATTATTTTGTGTCGGTGGGGAGATGGCACAGGCGATTGCTCGGCTCTATCCTCTGAGTGTGTCGTTTCCCTTTTTTTCCTTCTTTTTTTTCCCCACTCTGTCTTGTGTTATTGGCGGCACTTCAATTATAATTTATTTAATTTATTTCGATGGAATCTATAAAATAAAAATTTAGACTGGTTATTCTTCGTTCGACTACATTTATTTATTGTAATTTTTTTTTCTAATGTAGACTCTGGTTAATTATATCATTGGAGCCGGACCTATTTAGTGTTAGATTGAAGCCCGTGCTCGTGGTTTCCGATCGAGAGCCTGATGATGTGGCAGCTTGTGCTTACGTGTGCTGGTGGCGATTGAAGATTCTGCTATGCCATTATGCTGGAGAAGAGATTCTGTTCGGTAGTTGTTTTCAGAGGTATGTTCTCAATCCGGAGTGTTAGATTTTTGAATTTTCGCATGTGCATTGTCCTCGAAGTTGAAGCTTTGACTGCGTATTTGAAATTGCATATAAGATGTTCGATTATGAGTTCACGAGCTGACTAATTATTAATTAAGTTTTGGTTCAGGTGTGGTACGTGTTCAATTAAAGTATTATTAGCTGATGGCGATGGTTGTTGAAGCGAAGTCTCGACAATGGTTGAAGAAGCTTCTAGAGCATGTAACTAGGTATTTTTCTTGTATAATTTTAACGAGAAGAGAGAGAGAGAGAGACCGATAGAGAGATAGAGAAGTTTGGGGAGAGAGAGAGAGATAGAGAGAGAGAGAGACTCGTATGGTTGTCTCTACGATCGACCTTTGCCATGAACTCGCATGGCAGGTCACCGCATTAATAAAATATTATTTTTTGTGTCGGAGGGGAGATGGCACAGGCGATTTGCTCGGCTCTCTCCTGAGTGTGTCGTTCCCTTTTTTTATTTTTTTCGCTCCGTCTTATGTTAATGGCGGCACTTCAATTGTAATTTATTTCGATGGAATCTATAAAATAAAAATTAGACTGGTTACTCTTCCTTCGACTCTGTTGGAGCAGATGTATTCATCTTACATTTATTTATTAGGTTAAATTACAAATACCCCCCTGAGGTATGGTCAAATTACAAAAAACCCCCTCTTGTTTGGATAATTACATCTACCCCTCTCAACTATGATTTTTTCTTAAACCTCCACCTTTATGGTGCCAAATTCAACATAGTCATCTAGATTCCGTGAAATGTGGTCTAGTTTGTACTCTTTTTGTGTAAAAAATACAGTTTCTGATGCACACAAACTGATATATACAAGCTAAAAATCACATAATATGATCATCTTGCTTCATAATGTAGAGTTTGAATGGGATAAAACGGGTACAAAAGTGATAATATTCCATATAATCTCGAAGATTTCACTAAATTTGATGAGTTGAGGGGGGTGGTTGTAATTATTCAAACAAGAGGGGTGTTTTTGTAATTGCACCATACCTCAGGGGGGTGTTTGTAATTTACCCTATTTATTATAATTTTTTTTTTTAATATATATCGTCGTAATGTGATCAAATCGAATATCGGAAAACCCAATGGGTTTCACCCTTAGTTTGAGGCAAGGTAGTTAAAATCGGGATTTTACTTGAAATCGGAGAGGGGTGGTAAAATCGGAAACGTAAAATCGGATCGTAAAATCGTAAGATTTTACACCGCTTGTAAAATTAATTTCAACCCATTAAAAATATGTTTTAACATAAATTAAACATAGTCTAACATAAATTGAACATAATTAAAATTTAGTGAACTAGCTTAAATCTTCAAGGTTGATATTAGGATCAAGTCCATCGTCACTCTCACTCTCATTATCATCACTTTCATCTTCCTCAACTAGACTTCTTCGAATTACTCTTCTTTTTCTGAGACACAATTGAAGAACTAGAAGCAACTCCCGACATTATAGTAAGAATCTGAAAAATAAATAATAATTTGTAAGTAAATATTTGATTGCAAAGACGGGAAATTGTCGAAATTTAATTTGAAAAACAGTCTGCCTAGTCTGCCTCTGCCTTGCAACCACAGAGACAGAAGAAAGGAAAAAAAAAAAGAAAAAAGAAAAAAGAAAAAAAAAACACTCACAGCAAACAGAGACAGGAGAAAGAAAAAAGAAAAAAAAAAAAAACACTCTCCACAAATAGAGGCAGAAGAAAGAAAAAAGAAAAAAAAAAAAGAAAAAAGGAAAAGAAAAAAAAAAACACTCACCGGTTAGCAGCGCCGTCTCCTTCGCCGCTGCGCCGCCGTACCGCCGCCTCCTTTGATGCCGCCTTCCTCACGGTCCGTCGCTTCCCTTGGTAACTCACAGACTATGTTTGGTTTTCTCTTAAGAGAGGAGAAATGTTTTCTTCCCGTTCACGAATGTTTTAGAGCAAAATCAAGTTGGGCCTATAAAATTATTGATTTACTTGCTACTGGGCTGGTTTTTTTTAGTTAGATATTGTGTTTTTTGGGCCGAAACTCAAAATTCCAGCCCAAAATGAGACAAAAAATAAAATCGCCAAAATCGCATTAAAATCGCGTTTTTAACGATTTTAACGATTTGGAACGCGATTTTACCCGATTTTGAGGCACTTGCGATTTTAGTCCGATCTTACTCCTTCTTAGTGTCTAAAATCTTAAAATCGTACGATTTTAAGATCTAAGTCTCGATTTTAACTACCTTGGTTTGAGGGAATTGGTGTTGTGTACACTTAGTTTGGAGCCAAAGGCATGTTGTTTGTAATAGTAGAGAATGTAAATTCTTTTAGAACATTGTTTAGCATGATACTTTTTATTTATTTATTAATTTTTATTATATGTATATATCTGGAGAATATTGAAAGTAATTGTTAAACTTAATACATTATTTCTGAGACGAATTTTTTTTACTATCAAGTTATAATTAAATGAAATTCGTGTTGTTTCGAAGTTCCGAAATACGGTAAGTTCTTGAATTTTATTGATTAAAGAACAAGAGATGCTCAAAGAGGAATTATGCAAAATATGATGAATGTGCAAAACTGCAAATATATTGTCAAATGACAATTCACCAACTCTTTATTGCTTAAGGTGGTGTTTGTAAAAATACATTTAAAAACAGAAGTTAATATTTGTGCGTTAAGTTAGTACTAAGTACTTATTCCAAAAAGTTAACGAGTATTTGCAAATACGTTGGAAATCAACTTATACAGGTGCTTTTCAACTTTATAGCTTAAAACAACTAATTTAAGACGAACAAATAATTCTGCAAATACCTAAAAAACAGATTACGAGAAGAAACACACGTCCAATTTCTACGATATACGTAAACACACCTTATTCGATTTTTCTAAATACAAAAAACAAAAAACAAAAAAATGTTATTCACAGAGAGATGCAGTCAAGAACATATGTGCACAAAATGCAATTATTTTTCCATCACTCACTCTCCTATAAACAACAAAATGCATCAAAACTCTCTCTCAATTGAAATGTAAACACTACGAAAGAAGAAAAAAAAAAACGAGACGTTTACAAACAACAACTATATAAGGCGTCTCTTAAAGGTGCGTGTGGTTGTCTGGTAAGTACGGACGAGCAAACCTACACCAATTCCGACGCCAAGGCAAATGCCGAGCCCTATTCCGACGCCCACTCTAACTCCGGCATTGAACCACGACAGCTCACCGTCTTCACCTTCTACATATTCCGTTTGTCTCCAGTATAAACTGTCGTATTCTTCTTCACTTTCTGGTTTATAATTTTTGTATTCCGCAACCTATTAAACAGAAAAAAAAGGGTACTCGTAAAATAAGTTTATTTTATAACCATTAACACATAACGCACACATAAAATACAAAATCGAGGTAGTTATTCTCGTCGAAACTTACGCAAATCAATTTCTAGAAAAAACGAGATCTCTAAATGAAATTATAAGAGCGTGACATCACTCATATGTAGTGATTGTCACCTTTCACAAGTGTAGAAATAACTGCAAGAAAATTTCTGATAAAAAACCCGATTTTTTTTAAACTTATTTAAACAAATTCTGTACTGGCAGAAAGTAATTTTAGGGAAAATTACAATCTGCCTCTGCCCTCGAGTTTATCTTTAAACTTACCTAGACTCGTATCTTAATTCTACGAATCAATGGTTGATTTATCATACATTACGAGATACAACTAACTACGTCAATTGGTTGAGTTCCATAATTTCTAAGGTAAAAAAAGGATAAATATAACATGGGGTATCGTTTCAAAATTTAAATGCACGCATGCACACACTTTTCCAAACAATGCAAATCAAAACGGGACACAAAACTGATTATATATTACCAGACAAGTTGAAGAGCCGATATTATTTATTACAAGAAGCACAATCATAAATCATATTCTTTTTATTTTTTATTTTTATTTCAAGAAAACTTTTAAGAGTTATGGTCACACCCTATCCTAATTCCTATCCTTAAAGATATAATTATTATCCTCAAAAAGTTGCAAAAAGGGCCCCACATTTGCAATCTACCTACCTGTATATATATATATAGTATATTATATATATATATTCAGTGATGATGGTCCAATGTTGTCTGTTTGGAAAGCAGGATATGGATAATATATAAGAGAGAAAGGGAGAAGACAATATACAATATAATTAGCCCATCTCTTTAATATCTGTGCCTCTGCCCCATACCTTCATTACATATCCTGGATAAGATTCGACTGCTAGCCTAGGATTCAGTCCCAAATAACAACACATGTTTCACATGAGGAAGCATGCATATGAGACACAACCCATTGGATAAGATTATTTATCCTGTGTGATTGCCATTTCCCATTATTCAAGATTTTGTTCCGTGGAGGAATGGGAAACTTATTCCGACGAACCAAGTGCATTCATTAATCGATTTAACTAGTAGTAGTCGGCAAAAAAAAAAAAAGACAACTTTAATTTGTTAGCATTCATTAAAAAATGGACAATCCTTTTTCTTGATCCAAGAAGGGTTTTTTTAATTTTAGGATCTCGAACTAAAGAAGTAGCTTCACTTCTATAACGACGAACATTCGTTTCAAAATTTTATCTTCAACATAACTCAGACGGGATTAAAGGGATATCGATACATCTAACTATTATTCAGGCTTAAATAAAATCTAAATTTAAATTCATAAAATGCAGGGTTTTTTACAAACAAAATGGAAGCATGCAAGAAAAATAAATCAACATAAGAATATTATTACCTGCAGATCATGCCCCGGTGCAACTTCTTCGTGGGACCCGTTAGCATCGTACTCTGGAATCGAATTCAGCATACCCTTCCTATGCTTCTTTCTTGGATTAATTTGCAAAGTCTTGGTCAGTATAATCGGAGTACCCGAAAAACAACCTGCCACATAGACTTCAATCGTAGGCGAAGAAGAAGAAGAATCGGGCCCCACTATTTGCTTCCCCTTCAAAAATCCCGAGCCAGCACTAATCACCGATTCGCAACTCATACTCCATCTCCTAGCCGCACCATTATTATACGACTCACCGCCACCAACGCATCCATTGCTACTGGAACTCTCTAGAACACCGGAAATTACGAGATCGCCCTTATCGAAAACCTCGAATCTCACACTGTCCGTTAACCTCACGCTATCCGTGCTGACAAAAGTGGCCTCCTCGGATTTCCTGTCCACTCTGTCACGTCTGAGAGTGGATGAGATCCCTTGTGAATTCATCGAGCACCTTGCCCCGTTCACTTCGAGAACTGTGTCGGGCCCCACGGGGATGTGGCTGAGCGTGAGGCATTCGGGGGTAGAATCGTCCACGGTGAAATTGCTGATTCTGACGTAGAACACTCTTATGTCGAACCAGGACACAACGAATTTAGGATGTCTGATAATTTGCAGGCCTGGATCGGTTACATGCCCGTTACTATGATATTGATGAGAATTATCCATTCTTGAAAAAGAAACCTAATTTTTCGAAATGGATTCTCTTTAAGGACATCAATTTGCTGAGATTAACGAAGCTGAACAAAATACGAGGTAATATTCGTGTTAGAATTATCACATAAGTGTGCTGTATCAAGAATCATTTTAACAACATCTTGATAAGAAACTGAGTAATTAATAATTATTATATAAAAGCCTTAAAAAGCAGACATGAATATTTTCCAACAGATTATTACTACAGCAGAAAATTGTGCATACAGTTACATCTGTAATAGAAATATTAGTTAATGTTGCCATTTTGTAAGGAAAGGGGATCCTAATTACAAGGGTGTTGATCAAATAATTCCATTTACTAATTAATCTTTTCACCCAAAAAAAGAAAAAAAAAAAAAAAAAATCAACCCAAGGGGGGTTTTTGCCCCTGAAAAGTAGAACAGAATCAAAATTATAAAGGGAAGAATAGTATTTCAGCATTAGAATCAAAATCCCAACAAAAAAATAAATCTGGTGAAGTTATCAAGAACCCTAAAACACAGTCCTAAATGGATAGGCAAAACAATCATTAAAAAAGAAGAGAGTAGAAATTTATACCAAAATCCATCTCAGAAGCAAAAGAACTAACTGATTATAAATACAGTATATGAACAACAGTCACAGACTCTCTGACTCAGAGAGAGAGAGAGGAGAGAGAGAGGGGGAGAGAGAAATATATACACATGTCAAAGAATCCAGCAAGCCAACTTAAAACACTCAGAGAAAGAAAAGGACAAAAACCTAATTGAAAAAAATGAAAATGAAAATGAAAATTAAAATGCCAAAGGGGGGTTTAACAATAATTATTGATAAATAACTTACTAAGAAATCACTCTCTTCAAGAATCAGAGTCCAATCACCTTATGATTCCTGAAAATCGCTTTCTTGCAGAATAAAATAAAAATAAAAATCGGATCTTTGATCTCCCCCACGCAGTTTTTTTGTGGCCCAAAATCAAATACAAATAACCCCTTTAAATTCTCTGGGTAAAATATCACAATCAACACAGATTAATTAAAAAAAATTAAAAAAAAAAAGAAAAAAGATTGGATTTTTTTTTGGGGGTTGCAGAGCAATTGCAATGTATCTGGGAAGAAGATTCCAGAATTAGTAAAAATCTGGAATTGTTTATTAGGGGTGGGTTGACTATTCTAACAAGAATACGTACACAAGAATTGCTCCTAATAAATATTTATGTATGTATATATACATGCAAATAATAGATTAATTTTGTTGGCCTGTGAAACTTCTGATGGAGATTGGGGGTGGGTTAATCTGACCTTATCCGAAAAATATTTGCAGATTACGAGGTCGGCGTGTATTTTTCATTACAATGAAAGTGATGTTCAAGACTTGAGATTAATTAGCAGAAATTATGAACAACTGCTTTTAT